AAAGCAATGTAAGCTGTGGTATTAATCGATTGCCACAGTGGATACAAATCATAAAGACAACACGATTGTATCAAAAAGCGTTGATCCTTCTGCAACCAAAATGTACTTTTTAAGATGTTTTAAGTCGTCGTGACGTAAAGGATAACATGCTCGGTCAATTAGCATCGGGTGATGCGCCCGTGCCAGTGTTCCAATCCCCCAGGCCGTTACAAGTTTTTCAAAAGAAATACGTACCTAATCGTGGTCATGAATGTCTTCCACGACGACGAACAACAGCGTATAATAAAAGTAATGCGTTCCGGTTTGAAGGGCAGGACCGGCGTTACACAATACTATTGAGTCTCAACCACCATTTTATCGGACTTTACTGCTACTTCAAGTTTGAAGACATCGTGTATAAGACATATGTTAAAATATCGGTCTAAGATTGATGAGTAGTTACATGTCACGATCCGCCGTTACTACTAAGCCTGACCTGTCAATATTTCATTATTCCACACTGAAAATATGTACAATACGTTGATCTACATAGTAGTTTGCATATAATTGACCTAATAAACGCAGCTCGTATTTGCAACACGCTGTATTGTAATTTTCAATTCGGTTTAAGGCGATTTCATTATTCTGTAACATACGATAATAATAAGCGGGGTAAGGAATTGTTTCTGAGACAGAGAAGCTGATCATTATCTGAACACAGACAGAAGACAAGTTTATTTACATTTAGCCACACACTTTATTATGATGATCACTCTGGGATGTTATGTATTTCATGAATACGCAATCTACGTATTATGTTTATGGAACTCATTATCGTTCACATTCGCTAAAGTACATCAAAACGAGTGCCAAATTACCGGTAGGGTGTGAGCCCGCACGGGTGGGTACCACGGTCCAGTTTATACCTAGCAGGCGCGAAGCAGACTTCTACTCATGTTTGTAGGTTAGCGGTGTTATGTTATGCTGTCTACGTTCTGTGGTAACTTTTATTTTTATTTTTTTATTGCCCTTGTAGGCAGACGAGCATACGGCCCACCTGATGGTGAGTGGTTACCGTCACCCATGGACTTAAGCAATGCCAGGGGCAGAGCCAAGCCGCTGCCTACCGAGCCAAGCCGCTGCCTACCGAGCTAAGCCGCTGCCTAACTTAATATAAGGTGGCTCTTGAGGTCGTCTGCTCGCTTCTGCCAAAATGTAAATAAACTGAAGGTCATCCAAATAAACAGTGAAATAAAGTACGAGTTCCTTTGTTCATCAAAATCGACACAACGACGAACCTTGGCCGTGCGTTGTTCGGTCCAGTGACCGCGGTAACAACGCTTACATCACGTACCTACGCGTGTACGTGCGATTACGTACGATACGGTAACGCACCTGTAGTGTGTGCGCTGCTGACTCACTTGTCTTAGTGTTCCTTTCATTTATTAACTTGCGAAGTGTGCTGAAAATTGCATTATATTCGTTATAGTTCATTCATGTGAAATAAACGCGAAACTACTTGAGTCCGAGACATTCTCTTTGTGAGTGTGGATTAGATGACGGTACCTCGGAGCACATTTTTCTCGACTGCCCTAATATGGTGTCTCCTATTTATGATATCCTTCCAAAAGACATCGCCCGGTCTACTAATATTAATTCTCTATTAGCTTTAGTAAATTCTAAACATGTAAATATTCTATGTACATTTTTATCAATTGATAATATTTATCTTTAAAGCAGTTAACATATTCTAATATATTTGTTTGTGCTGTTCATAAAATCACACATTCGCATATGAAAAAACTGATCAAATTTATTTGTATTTACATTATTATTTTCTCTAAGCACCTGTCATTTTTGCTTACACTGTGACATTGGCAAAATCAATGCCTATGTCATAGGTCCCAATCGAAACTAACAGTATTCGTGTTTGATGTCGCATTTAGCGGGTTCCGTTGCCTCATCTAAATTAATTTAACTAAAACAATTAATTTTACCTACATTACTAGTGGACTATAGTAAGATAATTGAGAGCAAGATGAGGACTGCCGTATACGGCGGGGCGCGGACTGCGTGGTACCCTCGGACTACAACAATAACACACTCAGCTACACATAAGTTCCCTAAACATAATAATGAAGCCCAACAAATAATCTCTACGGTTGCAGAATATGAAATCTCACAATGACAACGTTTACGAGTGTTCCACGAAAATTAGTTGGTACCGATTCTAAATACACATAATTCTATTGTTTGAAATATAATGATAGGAAGAGCGATGACCTTAGAGTTTGCTTATGGCTGTCTCGGCCACCGGAGTCAGGTCACGATCACTATGCTGCCTTGAGATTTTTTTAACAAAAAGATATATAAGGCTAAAATAGCACATGAAAATACAACAAGGAAATAATAAGTATTATAATAATATGTTCTTAGCGACGAGTGAGGCGCGCTTGCTCAGCGGTACATAAGTCGGTATTCTCATCTCAAGCTTGCGTAGCGAAGTCGTATTTTTACTAAGATGCTTTTGAAGGCTTTTACTGAAAATTGAGTGCTTAAATACAATCGGTAATAATGTCTGGTGAAATATAAGAAAAAAAAAATTTGGGCTCGTCCGGGATTTGAACCCGGGACCTCTCGCACCCTAAGCGAAAATCATACCCCTAGACCAACGAGCCATTGTGTGATTTGACGAAACTTCGAGGCAGTATCTTAAATACGAAAAGAAAGCTTCATTGCAGAAATTGTTGCATTGCCCTACTATCTTAATTAATAAGCAAAATTAAATGAGTTTTATTGATAAGTCTCACATTACATCTCAAATAACACCTTACTTTTGTAACATTGTAAATTAATATTTGTGTGGACCTAGATCTATGTGCATGTTATTACGGATGTCGTGTTTTAAGTAGACAGAATGGTGATTGATTGGCCACCACTGCGCGCCTAAATTTTAATGCAATTACGTCAATTTCATGAGATTGGCTCCGATCACTGCGTGCACGAGATGATGTTTAGCGACCGTTACATTTAATTGCACCATGTTCAACTTGTATTTGTAACTTTCTCAACGCGCTATCAATTTAAATAATATTCATGATTGAAACTGGGACGACTCTGCGTCGTCACAAGATAAATTGGTTTAACTAACGGGTCACTGAACAACTTAAATGCTACACGCTATTTCAGTATTTAACTGCTTAAAAATAAAGGCTACATTTCTGCCTGCCGTGTGTTTTACGATGACACTCGGAACACAGAAGTAACAAGCGATATTGGTCTTTGGCTTTCGAAAAATAAAGCCTAAATTCGTAATTTTGATAGATCGTTGTATCGAATGATGGACATCAATTTAAGATGTTGATTAACATAGTGACTCGTGTAGAACATGTGTTAACTGGAGAACAGTATTCACAGAATTCACATGCGTTCGTTATCCAAGCGCTAGTGATATAGGCACGCGATCGTCGGTTCGAGATTGGGCTATACGGTTTTAAATTTGTCAGTGTCTCTCAATTAGGTATCGATGCTGTTAATGCAAGGGTTCGTATTATTATTATTACGACTAGTTCGGCGATCAGAGCAGCAGTAAATTTTGAAATGAAATGAAAAATGAACCAGTGAATTTGAGACAACAATGATATACAAATTTCAAGCGCACTTATTTGATGTATATATGTACATAGAACTGTAGCTCTTCCCTAACCCATGCATCAGCCCACTGAGTTTCTCACCGGATCTTCTCAGCGGGTCGCGATTCCGATCCGGTAGTAGATTCATTCGCGAAGCAGCTGCTCTTGAGTGGATAGGTCTCCTTCGGAGGGGCTCGGACAGCTATTAGCAAAGCTCACACCTCTTGGCTGAGCCTTTGCTCGCCTACCTGTTCTGGTAAAACTGGAAAAGCCCCCGGGCTTCCAATAATCCTTCAGCCATAAAAAACTCTTCTACCTCCGTGAAACCTACTTTTGACAGTGACAATGGTATCATATCAATACATATAATAAAAAAGTAGAACACAGTGTATCTGTAAAAAAAAAACTTACCGGAATGGTTTTTCATTCGTTTTTACCGCATTTTGCATTTACGTTTTTAATCCGCTGTTAAGTCCATAAGTAAGAGTAGAATGAAGAGAAGTACATTATAAATATTAGGGGTTAAAGTATGAAATTTTCGAAGTCTCCATCTTTCTTGTCTAAGCTGAATAAAAAAACAACTGAAAGTCGATAATCGATGTTGCACATTTTTGAAAAGAATATGAGGTCATAGGTACAATTTGAAAAAAAAAAACACTCAAAAATCTCAAACCGTGAAGGTTCTATGTCCATTCGAAGTACCTATTACAATAAAACGGCAATTTCATACTTTAACCCCTATTATCTATATATTAATACGTGAAGCAAAAACGTTGTATCCCTTTTTACAAAAATTGCGCGGACGGAGGAGTATGAAATGTTTTTACACTTATAGAGAATATAGAGAAGAAGTGCACAATGCTAATATTTTTTTAAAATAATGCATAAAAGATACATTAAATCCATAAAGAAAACATTACATACACTACAACCATGTATTTAACGCACACACGCATGCATACTATTCATTGTCGAACTTTTGTTCTTGACGTCTGTTGTCAAATTGAGATTAAATTTTGTTTGTCTTTGTTAATATTATTTATAGTGTAGTCTTGGCGAAATTTGTGATTATAGAAGTATAAAATACAATCATAATAGTGTACAAACTTACAATTCCAATTAATTATAGTCGAATTTCGACTACTGCGGGACCTCTAGTTATTATTAATACGAAACTGAATCTGTCTGTCCGTTACGTTTTCATGCACAAAACACCGAACGGATTTGGACGAAATTCGACTCAGAAATAGTTTGATCCTTTTTGGTAGAATATAGGCGTTTTTATCATGTGCTGAGCACGAGTCTCCACAATGTTGTATAAAGTGCAGTCCACGCGGGTGAAGCGGCGAGCGGAAAGCTAGTATGTAATGATATTATCGTATGTTCCAGGAATAGTGTCCGTGTCCGACGGTCACTTGGACATCGCGTCACCGCGAGACAATTGGAAGGTGCTGTTAGCGCATTACGCCGGGCCCACCGCCATCGTGGTAGTCACGGCACTGGTGATTGCTGCTCTGCCACTAGCCGGGTACGTATATATCCTTACCATTTGTTTTAACTTTATTTAAATCGTGATTCTAAATAGTAAATTAATCGGGTACTTGTTTTGTTTTTTAAAGATACATTTACAAACGGACATCTGAATTTTAAATCTGTCTCTAAATATAAACTAACGACTTCAAATTAAAAAGAAGCTCACCGTAATTGCTTGTCCTAGTGACTAGACTAGTAAGCAGACTGTCTTGTATAACTATATTATAGCCGTTGTAACTATACTGAGACCTGAGAACTTATATCTCAAGGTGGGTGGCGCATTTACGTTGTACATGTCTATGGGCCCCAGTAACCACTTAACACCAGGTGGCCTGTAAGCTCGTCCACCCATCTAAGCAATAAAAAAAATCACGGTACTGTTCTATGGGTACAGGATAAAGTTAGAAGAGAATAGATCTTACTTGTTGCACACGGCTTCTCAATCGTATTGGAGAAGTGTATTATGTTGAATAAAGTTTAAGAAACCGTATTATTTATTTCAGGTTATTCTGGTGTTGCTGCTACTGGTGCCGCGTGGGACGACGCCGGAGACCCTTCGACCGCAAATATGACGCCTGTCTCAAAGGCATCCTTGCCATACTCCTCATAGGATTGCTCACATTATTCTTGTAAGTTTTCATCGAAGCTATTGTACATAAAAAAACACGTGCAGTTAATACGCAGTGTAACGGAAGTCTTCAAAACTATTACTATCTATCTCGTTCCCTCGCAGGTCAAGGTTTTTATTTTTTCATTTTTATCAAATTTCAAATGTGGCAAATAACCTTACTCAAAAATTAGTGTAATTTTCAAATTCATACTCATATTTTTAACGTGAAGAATATTAGCCATACCAGTAGGATTGCAACAGACAACTCCAGCTGTGGCAGCAAAGTCAGTATGTCTTTCTTCATGATACTTTCGTGCTATTTCGTTTGAGATCTCAAAACACGGATCACAGCGGGAAACATGTTCATGTAAATAACTGTGTTTCCACTTCTATGACCGAAAAAGAATACATTGAAAACTATAGTTCTAGGCACGACTCTTCGATGAATGGATCCATTTTGATGATAAGCCGTCTAATATTTTAAGGATGGTGGTTTAAGTTCGATACATGCCTTCGATTGGAGGACTAGAGCACTGTACTGCTACTCTAAGAGGAAGTGATCTTCTATGTCAATATCACGGTCACAGTCGTAAATCATTTAACAGGTTCTTTTTTTTTTCCTACCTAGCTGAGAGCCTTGAGAGACTATTTCAGCGTAACTAACCTTAACTAGTAGGTGAGCTCACGGGGCTCAAACCTGACGACGTTGTTAACACGAACCCTAAAGCCGTGCTTCGCAGAAATATTTTAACAGAGTTGGTCCCTATAATACAAAAGCAACCTTGATATATCAGGTTCGGAGTGGTCTGCGCGTTCGCGACGGACTCTCAAGTGGAGGACGGGATGGCGGACGCTCCGGACTCGCTGCGGGACGGCATCCGGGACGCCCAGGAGTTCCTCAACGCGACGCAGGCGCACGCCCGCTGGCTGCTCGTCGTCAACTACAGGGAGCTCAAGGACGCTCTGAACGCGGTGCTCCGCAGTATGTCACCGATCGACATACATTTTAAAATCGTATATCTATACAGAGGAAAGATTTGTTTATTTGTTTGTATTGAATAGGCTCCGAAACTACTGAACCGATTTGAAAAATTCTTTCACTGTTTCGAAGCCACACTATTCCCGAGTGACATAGGCTTTTTTGAAAAAAAAATAGGAGAAAACTTGAATAGTGTAATCAAAGGTGTAAAAAATTACCTAAAATATTCTTTACATCGGGTGCCCTGTGAAAACTATTGATGATAAAATAAAATAATGTACTACGACTTTGTAGAGCACATTAATATTTACAAAAAGTGTCGCGACAGCATACGTCTAATATTATAGTTATGCCACAATAAGTGTTCTTTTATTTTAATGAAAAAAAACAACGTCAGTATCGTTGAAATTTTTGTTAAAGACCCGAGCGGAACCGGAGCGGGCCGCTAGTCTTATATATATCTAAGAGCGTATTTTGTGCTTTAAAGCTCACGTATTTATTTTTAGTGAAACAAATATTTAATCATAGTTTATGTTTGTTGTTTCAATGCATCAACGAAAATGGAATCTTATAGATTGTAAAACGTATTGTAAGCGTGCACGGGTAGGTGTGCCTCTGCAGTTATGCGACGGGGCAGTTCTCATACAGTAAACGTGAATGTATGTTGACGGGCTTATTAGTGGTAGGACCTCTTCAGAGTCCGTACGGGTAGGCACCATCACCCTGCCTATTTCTGTCGTGAAGCAGTAATGCGTTTTGGTTTGAAAGGTGGGGCAGCCATTACTTGAGACCTAAGAACTTAAGGTGGGTGGCGCATTTACGTTATAAATGTCTATTGGGCTCCAGTAACCACTTAACACCAGTTTGTCTGTGATCTCGTCTACCCATCTAAGGAATAAAAAAAAAGCTTGTTCGTTTGTGTCGCAGCGAGCGGCATGACGGTGGCGCTGAAGCTGGGCGAGTTCTCGCACGCGGCGTCGGTGAGCGCGCTGAGCCGCATGGTGGCGCGGCTGGACGACGTGCGCGCCGACCTGCGCGCCGTGCACGCGCTCACCGACGCGCTGCGACACCACGCCGACGCGCTCAACGCAGGTACGCACACTCAATGCTTATTGGGGGATATCCTTGTAGGCAGACGAGCATACGGCCCACCTGATGGTGAGTTGTTACCTTCGCCCATGGACTTCAGCAATGCCAGGGGTAGAGCCAAGTCGCTGCCTACCGCTTTTTTTAAAAAAAGAACATGTCATAGCGCTCGGTAAACAGCGTCGAGGGGAGCTCATTACAACGTTCAATGAATGTCGATTTTAATCTGTTGTAACGAAAATCTTATGATTATCTTAACATACAATGTATAAGAATTAAGGTAAACGTTGCGGCGACTTTAAGTTAGCACGATCTTGAAATATAATAATAATGATATAACTCTTTATTTAACACCACATGTACAGAGTAAGCATATAAAACAAATAATAGTCGGTGACATAAATTGACGGCCTTATCGCCGGAAGCAGTATCTTCCAGGCAACATTGTAGGGACAGGAATAAGCAAACTGGACGGTGCTATATCTTAATAAACTTACATAAAAATATATACTTATATACACATGTGTAAAATAAATACAATATATGATAGACTTACATTTTTATTTTTTTATTTATTGCTTAGATGGGTGGACGAGCTCACAGCCCACCTGGTGGGTACATATGATTAAATACAAATAAATACTAAAAATATGCAAGTAAATACAAAATAAGTAGCAACTTGTACAGTTATATCGTACGAGCCATATTATTGTGCAAAGTTGAGCTAGAACACCTTCATTGAACCGCTGTGGAAGCGCGGTCACACAACACAACGAATACTAACGTGTAGCCGCTAACACCCCGCCCAGGTCTCCGCAAGGTGAAGAACCAGCTGCTCCAGACCCTGGCGCGCTGCGACCAGCCCAACTGCAAGGCTCTGCAGAACAAGTACAAGCTGGGCCAGCTGGACACGGAGATACACTACAGTCAGGTGAGTTGTACGTGTGTACGTGTGAACGGTGCTATCCACGGCCGTGCTGCCGATACCAATACTTAATTATATATCCCTTTTGAAACCGTCTTGTTTGTGAAAAATTTTAATAGAAATCTTTGTTAGTTATAGCAAATTAAAAAAAAAATGTTAAAAAAAAAAGAACTGTAACCGCTTTTTACTCGGTCTGTACGCGCTCGACAAGGACTCTTTATAATTCTTTGTTGTGATTACACGCTGTCCGGGATGTAGATGCTCGACAAGTATTATCCCACGGTGAGTATGAACACAGTCATTGATCTAGTGAGACGTATATTATATGAGCTCATGAATATTACGAAAATTGTTTGCTTGTTGTTGGGTTAGAACAAAGTAAAAAAAACATTGAAAAAATTTAAATTCAACCAAAAAATGAAAAATAAATAATAGTTAAAAAGAACTAAAAAACACGCTTTATATAAAATTCAATACAATATATAATTTTTTACACTATTTTCAATTTAAATTTATTAAAATTTATTTTCTATTTTTTTGTTGAATTTTAATTTTGTTCAATATTTTTTTTAATTTATTTTTAATGTGGAGTTGTCATCGGTCCTCGATAAATCTACAAAGTTTGAATGAAATCTGGCCGTTCAAAGTGAGTCAAAATCGCGTCTAAAGGAGTCAGTTACAAACATACATACATACAAGTGAAGCTAATATAAAGTGTGTAAAAACGCAGCACACCGGCCCCAACTGCGACTGTTCCCTGCGTTATTGTCTGTCGCACGGGTACACTCGACCGGGACTGTTATTACTCGGTAATTGTTGACTTGAACACTAACCACGAGACTCATCCCGGCGTTGCGATGTACATACGCGCCCCTCGCGCACTTACCCGAATATATTTTCTAAATACTTCACTCCGGTTTTTTATAACGTATTTAAAATCGAAACTGGCGGCCGCCGAGTAGTGTAACTGTTGCATTGCGCCTTTGAGTTATTGATGACGCCGCAGATGCCGGACGTGTCTCCGCTACTCAGCAGCGTCTCCGTGCTCCTCGAGGGACACATCCAGGAGGAGGTGGCCGCCGGTCAGCAAGTGTTCAGGGACATACAGTACGGGATCCGGCGCTCCATCGACACCCACATACCCGACGTGCAGAACGCCATCGAGGAGACCGGTACGTCTCGCCGCGCCCTCCGCCCCCCTCCCCCTGTACCTACGTGCGAGTGTCCCTCAGTGATGGTGGTGTCGGCGGCAGGTCGCAAGCTGGAGGGCATCGCGGAGCAGATCACGCAGCTGGCCGGCAACGCGAGCGCGCGGCTGGCGAGCGACGGCGGCGGCGCGGCGGACGCGCTGCGGAGCCTGCACGCGCGCTACGGGCCCTACCGTCGCCACGCCGGGCTGGCGGCCGCGCTCGCGCTCCTAGCGGTCAGTCCCCGCACGCATCTACTCATCCTCTGTATTTATTAAATTTATACTTATTATTATAAAGCTGAAGAGTTTGTTTGTTTGAACGCGCTAATCTCAGGAACTACTGGTTCGATTTGATAAATTCTTTCAGTGTTAGATAGCCCATTTATTGAGGAAGGCTATAGTATAGGCTATATATAACATCATGGTAAGACCAATACAAGTGGAGCACCAATAAAGAATGTTTCAAAATAGGGGTTTAAATAGCTCCTTAATATTCTATAATTCAAAAATATTTTCACTTTCTACGTAAACGAAGTGGGGGTAAACTTTAATGTTATGCCAAAGTGACTCTTTCACACGGACGGAGTCGCAAGCAAAAGCTAGTTAGTTCATATTTTTAATTATAAAAAATACTTGTAAATTTAAAGTGTACGTTAAAGAGAACACAAACCCTAACCGACGGCTGGTGTCGCGGCAGATAACGTTGCTGCTGGTGTGGGGGCTGGTGTGCGGCGTGTGCGGCAAGCGCCCCGACGCGTACGGCGCCGCGGACTGCTGCAACAAGGGCGCCGGCGCGCGCTGCCTGCTCTGGTACCGCGCATTCTCTCAACTGTCCACTTTGCGAAACCAAAGGTTTTCTCTAGGTCGCAAGACGTGGTGGCCCCTGAGATCCTCACAAATTGCCCATTGAAGTCTGTACATTTGCATCATTTTACTGTTATCTCGTATCGCTTCATGTGCTATATCCTACACACGTGCAACTGGTGCAGTAACTGTGAGTCGGTTGCAGCGGCGTGGGCGCGACGCTGGCGGCGGGCGGCGCGGTGGCGCTGGTGCTGCTGGTGCACTTCGCCGCGGGGCTCGCCGCGCAGCGCTTCGTGTGCGACCCGCTCACGTGAGTGTGCTGTGCTGTGCTGTGCTCACTGCTCACCTCTACATGTAAACTACATATTTCAAGACAGATGAGCGGACGCCCCCTCAATAACGGTAGTACCGCCGCTACTAGACATCGGCCGCTGCTTCTATTAAGAATTTTTAAACCTGATCTGAAGACCATGCTTTCCAGAAACAGATGCGTGGAAATAGTGATCTCCGAGGATGCATTGCGAATGAGCACAGCAGTTCCAGCTAAGAGGGGCGACTAGTAATCCGTCAGTACGCTCCAATTCTCGAATTCATCGGTCTCGGGGCTGGCTGTAGCGCTGTTAATCTCTAACAATAATATGTTGATGTTTAATGTCTCGATCGGCAGAGAGCCCCGCGGTAACCGTCTGTTCGAGGACCTGGAGAAGTTCGTCGACCTGGAGAAGATGCTGTTCAACGAGCGGCTAGACCCCAACTTCAACATGACGTCCGTGCTGCTGCAGTGCCACATGAACCACACCATATACGAGGTGCGCCCGTCCCGACCCGCCCCGCCCCGCCACGCCCCGCTCGTGTAGATACTGTTGCTAGAGCCTCGACCTCCGCAGACGCTGCAGCTGCGGCGCGTGTACGACGTGGAGGAGCTGCGGCGCGCGCTGGGGGCCGCCGTGGGGGCGCGCGTGCGGTCCCTGCGCGCCCGCTACCCGCAGGAGGCGGCGCGCGGTCGCGTCACGCTGCTGCGGGACCCCGCCAAGCTCAAGCTGACCGAGCTGGCCAACACGCAGCTCTCGGACTTCGACTTCGACAAGATCCTGGACGCCGTGAGTACCCGCGCGCTCACACACTATACTCCGGTTGCGCGTCAGAGCTGACTCGTAATTTGATTAAATAAATGTATATATTTTATTTTTATTTACACGTTTTTCGTTACTTATTTATTTTATTCGTTTTATAATTATTGTGAATGTGAATGCTGTATATTATTTCCATGAAGTTGAACAGTATTGTGCCCTTTAAGAATGAAGGGTCGGCCGTGGTCCCCAGCTGGAGAGCAACCTGACGACGCTGTCGCTGGAGGAGCTGGGCGAGCGGCTGACGAGCGCGGCGGGCGCGCGGGGGCTGGCGGGGTCGCGGGAGGGGGCGGACCTGCGCCGCGCCGCCGCCGCGCTGGCGCAGCTGCACGCCGACCTGCTGCTGCCCATGCGCAACTACACGCTCCAGCTCAACGTACGAACACCCTCACCCCGCACACACCCTCTACCTCTCTAATTCTTATATAGAAAATAACTCATTTTATTTCTTTAAACTCTTCACCTCCAGACTCCCAAAATGATTATGTACTTCATACCTCATAAACAAAAATGGTGTCATATCTTAAATTCTTTTATAAAACCGCATGTAACAGAAATATTATAGTCCTATTTTTTATTAGTAAATAGTTTTGTATAATTGTATGGTCAAAGCGTGCCGACGGCCCTCGACCTTCAGCGGGAACCTCGTGATAATAAACGACATGCTGCCATACTTAATTCCTGTCGGGTCATAAACTTAGCCTCATAAATGAATTATCTCAGCGGACGGCGACAAAACTCCGCGACGAGCTGCGGTTCAACCAGTCGTCGCTGAAGGCGGCCATCTTGTACCACCTCCACGAGACCAACGAGGCCGAGGACTTCCTCAACAACCAGGGGCCGCAGCTGCTGGAGAACGTGAGTGAAGTTTATGTCCCGCAGTGGTAGGACCTAGGCATTATGGTAGCATTTTTTGTCGTATTCATTGTTCGAAATTAGTTGAACGTAGTTGCTGCCTATGTCATCGTTCTAATGCGATTCACTGAAGGAACGACCCAACGGTATTTTTGGTTGGATAAGTTCCGGGCTGTGAAACCGTGAATAAGTAGAGCACGTTGGGTGCAGATCACGGCGGCGTTCGCGGCGGTGGTGGAGCGCGAGGTGGGCGCGTACGGCGAGCGCCTGTCCGCCGCCGCCGCGCGCCACGTGGGCCGCTGCGGTCCGCTCTCCGCCGGATTCAACGCCACGCGCGACGCGCTCTGCACCAAGCTGCTGCTGCCCGCGGTGAGTGCCGCCCCCGCCCCGCCCACACCCCGCCCCCGACCCCCCGCCTCACCGCGCCTGTGCCCCGCAGAACGGCTACTGGATGTCGCTGGCGTGGGGCCTGCTGGTGCTGGTGCCGGTGCTGGTGGTGGCGCAGCGGCTGGCCGGGCTGTACCTGCAGGCCGACCCCTACCCCGGACCGCTAGTCGAGGCGTGAGTCCACCACTTCTGCTCCTATTCTCCGCTCTACCGCGGCCCCTTACGCTGTCGATAAGCTGTAAAGAACATTGCAACTCTCTTGGCGCGGTCCGCCAGCGCACAACTGTTCTTGTACAATCTATTTTTTAATCTAAAGCAATCATTTTCAGCTTATCGACTAACTAATGAGAACGTGAACTTGTATTGTCTTCTAAATAATTTGCTTAACGTTCAGTCACATATTTCAATATAAATACTACCAATACAAAACCCCAAAAAAAAAACAATTAATTGAACGTTAAATGAGAAGCTCTGTAACTTACAATAGGACCGTCGTAACGCGAGACGTGAAGCCGCAGTCGAACACTCGTAAACTGAAGTCCTGACTCGACTCGACGTGACATTTCTACTGATGTCACAATGACACTTTACATGCTTATTGAATGTCGAAAAGAATTCTGCCACGGGGTAGCATTTCCTGAATTCACAAAATAAAGAGAGCTAAAAGACAATACGTCCACGGATCTCTTCTTTTTAATTAACAACGGCCGCACATCGCAGTACGCAAGGTAGTTCTTGATATGTTGGGACTTCTTGGGGGTCTCTTTAAATGTTGGCAATTAGAAAAAAATAACAAGTGAATAAATGTTATCAAGAAATACCTTCTGAATTATCAAATAAAGAAAAATAATTGATTCTGGTGATATTTCAATATTAGTTGATCAACTCTTAGCCCAGTTCGGTTTCAGTTATTTTTCAGTTTACCTAATTTCCTAGTTTGTAAGTAGCATCCGGCGCGGGCCGGGCGCGGCCGCGGACATGTCGCGTCATCACTCATCACATTTTGTTTTTAATCATTTCGTAAATCGATATTAGCGATCGATTATCGAAAAGATTTATCGACATCTTATTTTCTTTTCGTTTTATATTTTGTAATGAACGTTGTCGTTGTGTCTTATCAGTTTGTGTTGTTGCACCCTCCTCCCCGTAACTAGTGTATGAGATTAGCCGTTTTTATCGAATTAAAAAACCGCTTTAGACCGGATCGAGAGTGCTTTGTGAGGTTGTTGTATCGACGCCTTGATGTCCCGGAGTGTTGCAGTCTCCTGTTGATACCCACTGACTTAATTACACTACTAACGTTAGACCGCGATAATCAGATATCGATTTGCACAAAACAAGCCATAAATATTGTTACAACTACATAACATAATCTAACGGATAATATTGTAAACATATCAATGCCAATTATCAACACAGCTTACTGAATACTCGATTAGCAGATGCATTTGTTTCATGGCATTACTGTTTATCTTTTCAGACTTATCCCGGTCTAATGGTTTTTATGCAAATGACTAGTGTAACAACAGCGACCAGTTACACGACTCGCGTACGGTTAAAGAGCTAACGCCACCCGCATATCGATAACCTCTGACGGCTACGCAACACTATTATTAACTAAATCTCGATTGGCCCTTTAGTTTTAAATTGTTTTATTTTTAGTTCAATATTGGTTTGTATTCACATCATCGCCATCAAAATACAGAGTCGAAAACATTATTCAGTTAAGACGTCAGAAAGTAAATCGACCTAAATCAGGGTTCATCAAAATTTGTGTGGTGTCTTCTGCAGTGAGTATGAGCCCATGCGCTCGTCGCGGCGCGGCGGCCGGGGGCGATGACCCTGCGCCTCGACCGGTAACGCGAGCCGCGCGCGTGCCCGCCCTCCGTTGCGCGTCCGAAGAGCACGATCTCACTCACTCGGGAACTTTACTAACGTTTTTGTTCACTGCCTAACGAGTGATGTAACTTAATAAAAGCGCTTCTGTGCCGTTGAGTTTGTAAATGCCGGTCGCGAGAGGTTTAAATACAAATCGAACCTGAGCAAAGGTAACGTTTGTCGGTCGGTGTGTGCTGTGGCGTGTGCTCTTCGACCGTTGCGACGCTTGCACGCTGCGCCATGTACAGACCAGTAGGCGGTAGTCGGCATGCTCCCGCGTTGTTCCCGATACATTGCTTGCTCACCAATCGACTCGTCCAACGTAGCGTCATTAGCCGCGCAGTCCGTGCCATGTCAACGATCGAGATAGCTTCAATGTTCTTCTTAGATACATTTCTCCTGTATGTCTAGATACAATATATTTCTTCTCAAACTTGCCGAAGTCTTGATGCTTTAATGAAAGCTGCAATCATGTGTCCTTTGAACTGTCGAATCTTCAATATCCTAGGGATTTGTATGTTTCTTGTAAACTTTGTTGATTTTTTTCTGCATTTTTATTTTAAATAGTAATCCCAAAAATATAAACACATATATTATATTATTTTCTTTTCCTTTATAACTTATTTTGTCATCAGTTCATCACAATATTTTAGTATTTTAAGTAGTTTAATTATTAAAAAAAGCATATAGTCTACAGTAACAAAATATAGAGTTAGTGTATGTATGTACATATATTATATATAGATTTATCTCTGTTAGTCGAATAGGGTTGTGTCAGGTTAGTTTTACAGTATTTAGTTCTGCTCGCACACAAGTTGTCGTGTGCGAGCGAGACCGCTAGGTGCTAGCTAGGTGTCAGACTGGTACCGCTGTGGCCTGACTGCATATGTTGTCTGTTGCAGCGAATATTTGTATGACGCGTACGCGGACCGCGATAACGTACCCCTCGCCAAGTAAGTGCCTCCAGGACCCGCTCCTCCCCGCCAGCATGCGCTTACCTTTACTTACTTTCACGAACACTCACCTTTCTCACAAATTTTCTTACAATTTCATTTTCAGACCGTACTTGACCTTTCAAAATGAATCCCAATCTGAGCGGCGCTGTGTGCCGTGCAGTACGCTACTGTCAGGGACCACATTAATCATTATTTATTGGAAAATGATTCGCTCAACTTTGAAACCAATGTTAGAGAAATATCCTTCCTAAGGTCAAGTACGGTCTGAAAATGAAATTTTGTAACTAAACTGTGGTCAAGTAAACTACTCCTTGTTTAAATAACAAAGCTGAGTGTTGCTCTTGTGCACGATAACGGACCTCTATTGGTTTCTGCGGCAGTGGAACTTGTAATATAAATAGCTCATCTGATTAAATTGGAAATGTAACAAAATTTGCATGATCGTAATGTGCCGTTGTGGAATACTCCCCGCATGCAAGTACCTACGTAATGTTTTCATTGTTTCTTTACTTTACTTTTTTATTTCTTTTACTTTTTAAATTGTATGTTATCTATTATGTTTTCTTATTGTTTTTTTTGTTGGTCTAGGAATTGACACTGTTCATTTGTTAGGTTTCTATCTTAAAAATTTGTATTGAAAATAAAATAAGTTTAAATCTAAAATCAAATATGATTAAGTTTTTCTGAATATAGCTAGGAACAGTAAAAAGTGTTAATATATAATTATTACATATTTCGATGGTTTTTAAGTATCATACATAAGTCGGTGCTCGGGGTCAGCCGGGCGCTTATCAGTTGAGCTTTTGGAAATTGCAGTTCGAAAAGTTTACATATAACGAATTAATTCTAAAACATGTAAATATCGTAGTTACCATGGTATACGTAAGGACCATCGATTGTTAACATGACAGATTTGGTCGTATGTGATAATATGTAATTAACGGAGAGGGGCAATAGCAGTGGGTCGAAACGCAGTACGCTGGACATCGAGGGTAAGATTGCGGAGTGGAGGGACCGAGCCGTCCCCTCCGCCCCCCCGCCCCACTCGCCTCCCCCGTCGCCCCCGCACTCTCGCACGCAGCTCCTGCTCGCGGGGGAGGAGGTCGTGTGCCAGCTGGTGGCCCCGCCCCCCGGACTCATCGATGACCTCAAGACTCGACTCGACGCTAAAGATGAGGACAACGAGTCCGGAATACACGAGTCCGAGTAACTTGTCACTTCGATCGATCAAAAAATTATTATCGAATTTGTTTTTCGATTTGATCATATTACTGTGCTCGGATCTAGTCACGATAATTTGTTTGTAATTGTTCTAAATGTTGTTGAATTTGTTGTATAGATATTTCGATCGATTTTATTATTTTATGAAGTGAATATCGGTATTCATATCTTAACTTTGTGTGAGAGGGTGCAGCCGACGTCGCGGCGTCGGTAGCACGCGGCTCCTCCGTAAAATGTTTTTGAAACGTTTAAAAATAGTCGTTGACCAATTTTATTGTAGATCAACTCTTGTTTTAATTGTCTTCCAAAGTCAAACGAATTAAATGTTTGCTTATTGAAACAAAAATATCAAAATAAATCGTGTAATCGATTTGAATGATACAATCAATTATTTGCGTTGTACTTTCCACACATCCCCGTGGAGGGTTGTCGCTCGTCCGAATGTAGCGTGTAACAGTAATAACGTTTGATAAATTCTATTTGTTCGTGTTCGTAGTCTTGTTGTACAGCAAGTATGATATACAATCGTATTTAAAATATGCTTTTAAACTAATTATAACGTCCATTTTGCTAAAGCTATCCTTGCCGTTCGCCTCGCGATATATTTAAAATGGCTCAGGTTCAACGTTCACCTCACCATTAAAAAAGAAATCTCAAAGAGTCCACTGACACTAAATAATGAACGAAAAAAAAAGGCCGAACCCGTTCGCCGCGGTATACTAAACGCAACGCTTGTACAAAACATCATTGTTACCCTCAATGTAGAGTCTAGGACATATACACATATATACACTGTATTTTGAACTATTCAAATCATTTTGATATGAACTTTGTATGACTTATTAATACTAGAATAGTAAACAAGCTTTATATGATTATATAAATATTTTATCCGTCGGCAATTTATTGTGAAACATTTTTCAGAATTGTCGCCAATTGATTAATGTTTTTGTACTTCGGTGTTGTGATTGTGACGCTTAAGTGTAATGGATAATTGATTACTGAATGTTTAATTGTAAGTTTAATTATACTTAAGCAACATCAATGGCTTCAACTCGACTGTGCGGTTTGAATGTGTGCTCATAGTTTTGATTCAAAATCGAATTCGCCGAATATCAGAACTGAATACATTCTGATTGAATGGCTAATTGTTCACGTGGGCTGTATTAACATTGCCAATGTAACAACGTTTTTTGTATGAATACAAAATTCAAAATTCAATTAGCCTAAATTCCCACACTTCCAAACCGCACTGGCGCAATCAATATTCGGTAACGTTGTACATTGCGTGCTGTAAATTATAATAATACTCGTAATAAAATGTAATAATACTCGGTTTGGATTGGTTGTTGTATGTCTGTGTGCACTGCAGTGAATTGAAATGATGTAAGCGTAAGTAATAAATAAGTTATGCTCCCAGTAATTGGGCTCTACTGTCGTTATGTAGGAATAGCTCTGTAGGCGCAGCTCGACTTGAAGAAGTGTAGAACATTGATTAAAGACGAAATTTACTTTATAATCCAAAGCTTTTTAATATGCTTTTATTAGCTTCAGACGTATGTACGTTTGTAACGGAATCTTTGAACATGATTTTGACCCCCTTCAAAACGTCGGATTAACTCGAAATTTGGTATACTTACTAAGGACCGATGACAAATAAATAATTAAAAAAAAATTGAAAAAAAAATATTTAAAAATTTGAAATTTAACTAAAAAATTGAAAATAAATAATAGTTTAAAAAAATAACAGAATACGCTTTTAACTATTATTTATTTATTTATGTTCCAGTCGAGCTACGAATACTTTTACTATTTACTAATACCTTGGTTGTTTTAGGTACGTCTATGTAAGGATTTTTATGACATATCCACCGCAAGTGTCTTCATTTGTAGCAGTTATAAAATACAAATGTATTATGGATTTTACTGAACATATTAGTGATTTAATATTGAACTACACAATAACGTGTCTACATAAAGTCTAGTGTTTTGTGCTCTTTCCGCGAGACCTGGACATAATTAAAACTAATTTTACGGTTTGATCTCGCCAACGGTTTTGTAAGATCCGACAAAATTCAAATACTCGCTAAAGAAAACAAGTTAGTTTCACGTAAAATGCGAGAGGACATTATAATAAAAACATCCTAACCTTAATAGGGAAGATAGTTTGCGCCTATCTAACACTTAAGATTCTCTTATCGTGAAGATGAAAATCCAGATCAAAGTCCCATACCTCAAGATACTGTTAGAGCGTTATGTGTGAAATAAAATTTAAAAGTATACAAATATTTTTTGTACAAATATGTATAAACAGTAGCACAATATTGAAATGGCGACGGATCATATCAACACCTTCGTCATCCGTGACCACGGAGAATGTAAGATGTTCTAAATATCGGAAATAGGTAATATAATAATAATAAAAAAACACGAGATTAAATCGTAGAGGTAGTTTTAATTATATTCAAACTCTGTTTTTACATTTTAATACTTTTTGTCTTTATTCGTATTTGTGGGTAGGTTAATATGTAGTTAGGGTTCACAGGTTGGATAGCCTGCCTGTACATGTACTATACAAGTGAATCAAACTTTCTTTTACATTTTTCAATAATTCGCGTCATTAGTAATGGTAATACATAATTAGTAAGTAGAATAGAGTAGAATGATAGTGATAATGTAGTGTGATCACATTTATATAAAGTGAAATCGAAGTTTGAACTTTAAGGTGTAAGATGTAAGGTTCGACACGTGATGGTTTACTCGGACGTCGTGCACTAGGAGCCGATGTCCTGGCGCGGGTAATATACCGTTGTACGGATAGATCCTGCATGCCCTTGTTTGACTGCGACCGCTTGCCCGCCGCCTCTCAGAACTTACCCCCACTTACATTCTTATTTTACGTCTCTGTAAGGGACAGGAAAACAAACTCTCACATAGCTGAAGAGGCGTGATTTTTTTAAATCGCTAACAATTTATATCGTTCTTTTATACTAAATTTGTATTTTAAATTGAAATAGATTTGAAGTATGAGGGCTACAAGTAGTGCGTTAGTGTAACAGGTTCATGGTGTAAATGAGAGGGTAAGGCAAACTGGTTGTTTTTCTGTCGGTACTTTTGAAATTTGCATTTTAGTAGAATTTTTTCTTCTTATTACTAATTTAACACGTTTTGTTTTTGTTAACGCTGAATTGTATGGTCTGTTTTGTTCAATTATTTATTTTCTTAAATTAATTCTGATTTCTGTTTTTATAGAAAAAAATCTTTAAATATGTTTGACGAGAAAACAATTGTTCATCACACTTGTAGATTTGTCGCGCGTGCTGGCCGCGGTCGTAATACGCGGTTGGGCTTCTGGTGCTGTGAGCGAAGACTCCAAGGCATTTTTACATTCTCACTTATTTATTAGGCATTTTCAATCTATAATTTTTTTTTTTCTAACTTTATCCAATTTAATTAAAAACCTGTCTTTTTTGCCCCTTCATGCCAATTAGTACAGCATAATGTTGTATTGCAAACGGTCCGAGCAGTTCATTATGTGGAATAGTATCATATCCAAGCGCTCACGAGTAACTCTGAAATTCCTCAAAGTACACCTCCCTGTCGTGTCGTCTGCCATCGTATTAATTAGATTTTAAATTAATTAAAATGGTACTTAGTTGAATGTTTTCAGGTCATCGTATTTAAAGAACGTTTTCACTGTGCTATTTCACTTTCCATTTGCACGTACTGCATCAACATGTATTGGGCTTATTTTGTATTTCCTCTTATTTCTTTAAGTCAATTGACCAAGTGACTACCGGCTGATATTTAACTAAAATTTCAACCATTATAATTATAAGCCTTCCACGAGTTGTTATAACTATTTGGGACCGTTGGGACATTTGAACCCCGCTTTCTAGTGATCTTGACACTATGGGACTATGGGTGTGCCCTTAACAATATATATTTTAGTTAATTTAAAATATAATGATGTATGCAGTTTTACTTTTGTAAGATGTAATTTTCGCGAGACGGTATATTGGCTTAAATGTTTTAAAATGTTAAGAGACGAGTCGAAAATTTTTAGTTGAAATAGAACTGTTAGTCACTTGTTTAATTTTCTCAATAATTATAATTATCATGGTCAGTGTATCGACACTAGATTTTTCATTAATCTAAAAACAGTAAATAACATTAAGCTCTTCAATAATATATTGCAAGTGTAAGTGTATTTTTCATACTAGTGTATACTTTGCAATAATTTTTTCTTTCTTGATTCTTGTTCGCTTCGAATTGTTGGTTCGGACCAAATTTCAACTTTAAAGCAAAAGGCCCTTAATATAACATATTTTAAAATTGTATTTAATCGTTAAATAAGAATAATTGACAAAGTCGATACACTGATGCTTGTGCGAGCCGGCATGTAGCTGAGGCTGTTGTGTGTGCAGCACGTACAAGGCGGAGAAGCGGGGCGGGCGGGAGGGGCGCGCGGGGCGGGGCGCGCGCGAGCCGGAGCCCGGCGCCGCCAGCCTGGCGCCCGCTGCCGACGCACAACACGCGCGCAGATATAATGATATGGCGCCGAAGTGAGTACCTACCCACGCTACCACCGCTTCCTTCTCTGGGCAGGCCCCGGCACCGCGTCACTGTGGCGACGAAGGTGGAGGTACTGGACTGCCAGTAATGTAGTAGTACCCTGCACACAGACTGGGAGCGTCCATTCATAACGAGAACGTTTATGTAGTAAGTGTAAGATTAACATTGGGGTCAGTCCCATCACCAATGAATTCACTTGTTCCCGCCGCGCCTAAACTGGACTGTCTGTTACATCTGATTCATTACTTGCTATTACATAAAAATTGCCTATAAATCAAAGGCTTGCAACTTACGTCGCTTATAAGTTGTGAAGGCCAGGTCGGGCCTCTAGTTAGCCCACCCCAGCCATTGTCGATGTGAGTTAATCTACCGCACAGGGTTAGATTGCACTGATTAGTTAGTGTGCGATTGGATATAAATACAAAACGTCAGTATTTCTTATATTTTTTGCAAATAATTTGTCCTGTAAATTAAACATTGTGAGAGTGAAAAAGAATAGCGATTTGATTGTAATACATAAAATTATTGTCAATAAAATCCTTATCGGTGTCAAAGTCACATATCGGTCACATGTGTCAAAGTCGATGACTAAATGCATGATGACCTCAATGACAGATAACGGTTCAATTCTGATCTTTGTCAATTAATATCCTTGCGAAGCCCATACTAGCTAAGGTTCGATGCACCATCCTGCACTTGGTGACGGTGGCTCGTGTTACAGACACTGGGAAGAAGGGCCTCCCCGATACCACGGACCCACTGAGTACGAGCGACCACCCCCATACTACTATCCCGGACCAAAGTGAGTACCCATTAGCATTTCTTAGCACTTACTACTAACAGTGACTATAATAACTTCACACTAGAAACGCTCTGCAGCATCTTGAAGCACATAATCTTAATAACGCAACAGTGGACACCTGACCACCATTTCATCGACTAAACGATCGTAAGAAGGACAACACTCTGTACAAAACTGTGTCCCGGTTCGATCGGCTACACCTTGAAAAACTTAAATGATACTTGATCCCTCCATACGTTTTCCGTTCAACGCGTGCAATGTGTTGTAGCGTACAATATCTAGGCCAATACTTGTTAATGTTCCGACAGTATACCTCGCGTATCGTCGGCTCAACTGAGAGGCCTGAGTCTGAGGCGACGCCCGGGCACTAGTCAATGCGTGGACCGTCGCGTCTAACCTTGAGTACAACATACCGGTGATCGGTGGCAGTCTGTGTCGTCATTTGTCGTGTCCCCTCATGCTTGTCACGCTCATTCACGTTAAGCAATGTTCATATTTCATACTCAGGGTAACGGTATCATCAGTCCCGTCACTGAAGTATCCAGTCGGTCTAAAATTCAGCCTTTCCCAAAGTGGGCGATAACGCCCCCTTGTGGCCGCTGCAGCCCTGAAGGGGGGCGGTAAGAGACCCAGAAAAAAATTGGGGGTACTATGTAGAAGCTTGGGAGGCGATTTGTAATTTTATCTAGGAGGACTCTTAAATATCGACTGAGCTCTCGCTATAGTGGTCTTTAAGTAGGTGATAAAATGGGGGGGCGTAAAAAATAATTTATTCTCAAAGTGGGCAGTAGACAAAATAAGTTGGGAACCCCTGGTCTAGACGCGATGTAATGCAATGTGAATTGTGGTAGAGCGGCCAGGTCCGTTGGAAGTGCCTGAACGTCCAGCTTCAACTGATGAACCAAGGCTTAATGTAACATTAGCAGTTGGTTTTATAACAGCGGTAAGTGTGTGTTGACTGGGAGGGATATTGTGTTCGTGCGCTAATATATTTTTATCTTTTTTTCACCGTATTTCATCGTAGTTACTGCGATTACAATCAATTTTAAGAATTGGAAATAATGTATTCCAAAACGCTCTCAACTTGAAGCACAAGAAGCTTGTTGTGGCCTAAAGTACAGTTTTGGAAACATTCACATTAGGTTAGGTCAGATGAGAATATAAACACAATTTTATATTTAAGAAATGCAGCCACATTGAGTACTCATTTAGGGGTCACGTAAGACAAAGATTAAAGAAGATATTAATGTCAGTCATGTTGTTTGTTGTTCCAGCGATAGACAGTAAAATGGCGCTCACGGAGTTGGACGAGGAGCTACTCAAATACTAACACGGACCTCACACGCACGCCCCCCTCCCACTGCCCCCGGGGGGTCCGGGGGCAGTGGGGGCAGTCCGCGCGGGTCCCTCTACCTTGTTGGTGCTCGTAGCATGCATTACTCTTCAGTAAAATAGTGAAGTCCACTTACAGTGTGGATGGCTCATCAAATATAATATCACCGACGACTGGTTGATAGCAAACCGATAAATCTGTAATCCAGAAATATAAGTCATGACTCGTTATAGAACTACTAGTACTAGGTTAAGCTGAACTCTATTGTATTGTAAACGAAGAGTTTAATGTATAAGATTCTGATGGTACGTGATAAGGTCTAATATCGTGTGAACGCTCAGCACAGGTGAGAGATGACGGCGTGCTGTGCGGCCGCGTCCCGGATCGGATAGAGACGGCTCGTGTTGTCTCTGTCCGATCCCGGGGCGTACGTAATATTTCCCTGAAATTAATTTTATTTAATATTTGATCCTAAAGTAATCAGAAGCTCAACATTATACACGTGAAATTAACGGTATATACGAACGACTCTATACTTATAGTCGTCATAGAAACAAACATTTATAGGTAATGATGAAGTAGTCTTTATTGTGTACAAAATAAAGTTCATTTTTGAACGTTTTTTTTAGATAGTTGTATGTATTATAAATGTGAGCGATAAGGTATGAGTACTTGGTGCCAGTCTGCGGGGGTCCGGGGCCTCTGTGCGGGCGGCCTCGGCTCGTGTCGTGTGCATCTAGCTAAACAATTATTAATTAGTGTAGCGATCTGTAATTACAATTAATTGTTAGCTCCTTGTGTCGATAAAATAAATCACAAAAACTGCCATATTGAATTTTATAGGTTAATGTTTGTTCGTTCTATTTGGGAGATTTGGGAGTTGCGTAGGGGCGGGAGCTATTTGCACCAGTGAGACTAACTGTAATGAACTGTCGTCGCATTTACTCTAAAATTAATAGCTAAAATAAATTATATCAAAAACAGATATGAAAATTTCAGAAGGTATTGTTGATATTTTTAAATTTAAAAGCTTAGATAACGCGAGTCCTTTTCATTATTTCAAAAATAAAAATCAAAATTTTGATGTTTGATTTTAGTTACAGTATTGAAATAATATATACACAACTTGATGGACTCACAGAAATTATTTTGAACCCTTACTGAAATGATGCACATAGAAATAATTATAGTATGCAATTGTAAGATGCAATTCCATGATTCCTGTATAGACTATATATTAATAATTTGTTCGTTGTCAGTGCGCCGTTTATTCTCCGCACAAGACGATCTAAACGTATGAGATTCGGTATTATAGTTTCAATTGTATACTAGTATTTAATTAATTAATCTTAAACTAGATCTCTATGTCGTTGTGTCATCTCGCTCTGGCTGGCTGCACACACGTCAGGTGTGAGCGAGATGCAAACGTTTCTATCCATTTAACTTGTGTAGTTATTAAATTTACTTAGCTTATTAAATAAAAGACAAATTAGATCAGCAAGGAAGTCGGTATCAGGTAACGCCAAACGAATGTAACCCTTATTGTAAGTTAGATTAATACTTATATTCCTACTCTCGCCAATACTGCCGCAGAGCTCTATCGCTCTAGAATTAGACGAATGTAGACCATGTTGCTGTAGCCTTAAGGCTTAGAATGTAATTATATTGTTCTGTTCGACAAGATGTATGTTTATTGAATATATAATGTAGTCTAAAATGACGTCCTAGCCGACTCGTACGTGGCGGAGTGGGTGCGGCGGCGGGGACGTCGTGTGCTTAGTGGAAGTGTCATATCGCGTTAGTGTAAGGCCTCCGGTTCGTGTATGTAATGCCAAAATTAATTGTTGTCCGTGTGTTCAACATGCGTTTGACGTTGACCCGTGTCGATGTGCGTGATGAAAGTCCTGTAAACGAATATTGAAGGATATCCGGTGACGTCAGCGCGCGCAGGGCTGTCGCGTGGTAGTTGAAGGTCGCAATAGGCGGCGATGTACGTTGCTAATGTCACTGACGATGACTGACTTTATTAATATTAATAATAATAATAATCAATGTATTTAAACGTATGTAATCTTCTCCATACAAGAGAACGCACACTGCGTTTGAGCTCACTTTTAATTAGAATTTATTCTACGGTATAATTAATTATATTCCCTTAAAATAAATAAATAAATATATTATAATGAACGTATTGAATTTAGTTTTCGTTATAACGCTGCTCAATCATCTGTTATTATGAAACGCGGTGCTCGTAATTTGATATCAATTGCTCTCGACTTAAAGTTGGTTTTAAACTACGACTGTGTTTTGACTAAACGAATCCTTGTACCGTCGCGGCGGAGGCCGCGCGGACCCGCGCTACAACCCTCCAGTGCTGGGAGCCGCGGGGCCGTCTGTCTCGTCTATTGCGGACGTTTCATTAAATCTACTGAAATAAAATTCAATGTTCTCATATTGACGAAGCTCAAAAGGGTCACAGGTGGAGGTGCAGCCGCTAACAGCGGATTAAAGCGATTTTTTTTACTTTAACTTGAATACGACATTCGTTCGCTACTAAAGTAAGAAGACCACCAATTGTTCTGATGGACTACGTCTGTTCATTGATACTGCAACTGAGTGTAAAGCCGCTTTCAGACTACGCTAGCATATAGTATATAGCTCATAGCACAACAATATCGCATACCATATATTGTTATAGACACGTTCACACTGTACTATACTATTATATATTATTGGCTAAGTATACGCTGCTATACTATATGGCACGCGAACGAATGATCGATTAAAGTTCTGTTGTCAAACCAAAGCGATATGTTGCTGCCCGTGGGCGCCTTATTACGTCTCATGGCTGCGGCGGAAATGTGACCTTGTATAATGTGCATTCTAATATAATTACATTTATGGAGTTTCCATTTTTGTTTTATTTCTGTGTTTCTACTCCTATACAGGGAGTCCCTCATAGGGTAAATCAAGTGTTAAACTAGAGTGTATTACTAGAATAATCGATACAATGAAAATGTAATATGTACAAAACAACAATGCGGCAGGCTTAATCGAGCGGGCTGGACGAACCCAAAAAGATACATGTGATGTCAGCTTAGTGAAATACACATACACTCCGCCGACGCCGTTAATTCGCTCCCATTGGGTTGGCATGTCAAACAACTTCTTTTGCCCTTGTAATTGAATTGATAGTGAAATTTAACAACATTTGCTGTATATAATACATTTGAAATTTGCAGAAGTTTTTGAGCCCTATGCGCCTAGTAATAAGGCTGCATTTGTTGTCGTATTTATTATTTGAAATAAGTGGAGCGAATTTGTTATTGTCTATCTCGTTCTGACTCGTTTAACTGAACGTTATCTAATGATACTTCTGTTGTATAAATTCAGGACTGTCATCGAAGAGTTGTAACAATCAATATATTAATATTTAATATGTCATCATATGTTACGATTCATATTTTAACGTGATCTATGTTTGTTGATAATATAGCCACGTTTCGGCTTAATATACCCTTTGTCGCACAGACTGTATATTTAAAATAAAATTATGTTTGTTGGTTCAACAACGGCTCGACACTTTTTTGTCACGTACTTAGTGCGAGTTTTTCAACGTTCTCGATAGCGTAAAAGTGAACTCTAATTTGACCACACTGAGGTCTTTTTCGATTCACAAATTTCTAATTACAATACCTAATGAAAATGAGAAACACAAACAGACCAATTTTAAATGTCGGTAAACAAATCTGTATCTTCATTTTACAATGGATAAGGAATGGTCTTCAGTGTTACCCTGTATGAAATTTTACAAGATGATAGGTAAAATGTAACTAAAGATGTTCATAAAAAATAGTGTTTTAAGAAGATCTTCGAATTAATTATGAGAATTCTTTGAAAAGAATCATTGATATGAACAAGTGCAAGTGGTAAATATTACATGCTCTATTAACCACAGTACTCGATATACCTAACAAAATTTTAATGGCAAATAATAAGAAGCTAATTGGTAACCAATACATTTATTCACAAAACTATTTGAAACATTTCCAATAACACACTACAGCTACATAGTTTAACTCGTAATAAACACAATGACACGTCACAATACTGCGCGTCGCGTCGAGATCGTGTGGAGCTGCACTAACGGTAGTTCTGAAAACAACAAGAACCTATCATTCGGTCACCAGTTCGCAGGAAATTATAGTATTCGCATGAAAGTGTGAAATTAATAAACCTAGTCTCAAGATTCTGGCATATTGACAGGTGGTAGGACGCTTTGTGAGTCCGCACGGGTAGGCATCACCACCCTGCCTATTTCTGCCGTGAAGCAATAATGCGTTACGGTTTGAAGGATGGGACAGCTGTTCTACTGGAAAACTCAAATTGGGTGACAGTATTTATGTTGTTGATGTCTATAGGCGCCGATAACCACTTAACACCAGGTGGACTGTGAGTTCACCAAACCATCTGAGCAGTAAAAAATAAAAACTTAAAAAACATCCAAGAGAAGGAAAAGGTTCCATAGGTTCCAAAGGTTCATATCTATTACAGAGTTTTAAAATATTAAATTACGCTTTCGCTTAGTTTACAATATTGAGATAGCTAGCTTCTCCGGAACACCCTCTAGCTGCTAGGTGTGTTTAGTATCTAAGTGCGTTGCTATAAAACAACACATCGACACTCGCCGAGATGTCTAGCCGTGCCTAGACGCCCCGGGGTGGACACTTAGATTAAAGAAACATTTATGTATTCATTCACTAACTTGAAATAACTCCGAGCTAGGAATTTCAAGAGATGAACACAAGAAAACCCAGACCTTCATTAAGAAATAATAATAAAGATCTTAACTTAAATTGGGAATTGACCGGACCCGTGGTACCCGGCTAAAATTTAAAGGTGATAGTTGACTGATGTAATAGTCTATTATAAATACCGCAATGTAGATATAAGCTATGAGTTGGTGAGGCTTTGCTGCGTGGCTTGCACGAGTAGCAGGTCCAGCTGAGTGGCGGAGGAGCACACCAGCAGTCTCCGGGGCCGCACGCCCTGCAGCACGCTGCCCAGCGACGGAGATACGTTGTAGAAGATCAGCGTTTGCCCACGAGACTCGAAATCTTCAATTAACGCCTTGATACCCTGGCAACGTAATGTGAACTCTTAGTGCTGAGCTTATAGTCCGTAAAACCCACAGACGTTCGGCTTGAAGAAAACGGAAAAATATGTGTGATGTCGTGGGACACCGGATAGAAACGAAGTTCCTTATTATAAAAATATTAATTTTAAGTTCTATTCGAGGTATAAAGAAAATAAAACTGGAGGTTTCGCAACAACCCACGGTCATTCAGTAACGTGCAAACTTATTGTGGTACACTTTATTCACGGCTGTTTGCATAAAAGTTGGTGTATTGCGCAAACAAACGCTCTGAGATGGTGGTCAATGAATGATAAACCATATGTAGCCCCTGAATTTTCTTACTTTAAATTCGTGCCAACTCCTTTGAATGATACGAGAATGCTTGATGCGCACGTCTGCTGACTTATATAGAGCAAGAAACATGAAATAGCTCGGTAGCAATTTCTTTATATTTACTGGCCAAGAATCAATTATCAGTAGCAGATAGTCAGTGCGGGCGCGGTACGTACCTCTGCGGCGGTGAAGTCTGCCGCCCTGACGTGCGTGGCGTCCACCACGAGCGGCAGGCGCGGCGCCGCCTTGTGCAGCGCGCGCCGCACGAACTCCGCCGCCGGGAACGACAGCGCGCTGCCCACCGCCGCCACCACGTGCTCCACGCCGCTCGCAGACTGCACACACACACATACCTACACTACCCAGCCTCGAAGGCAAATATATGTGACATTGGTCTGACATCACATTGGTCCTTGATATTAACTGAGACTATCAATTTATGCAGAATATAAACAAGGGTAAATTAAACCAATACCCAGGGGCCGGGGAAAGTTAACTCCACGCTACAACAATAGTCGTACAAATACAAGACTCTGTATGCTTAGTGCGAGTTATTTAACGTTCTCGATAGCGTAAAAGTGAGCTCAAATTTGTTGGAACAGTTGGAACGTTTGCCTACGTTTACCGCTAGGGGCGGTGTCGAAAACGTTAAAAAACTCACACTAAGCATACTGCACTAGTTAATATAATAATATTGTGCACAAGTTGCGATGTCCTTAAATAACTTAAGGCCAAAGTAGAAAGTAATTTTACTGTTGTCCACCACATATCGACGGTCCTACCATGCGACGTTTAGATGCTGATACAGATGTAAGATAATTATTGGATTTCGCGCCACGATAATCCGCTTTCGTACAAGGCTATCATTGTGAACGAATTTTTGACCAAAAATTCGACAAATACCATCGAACAACCACCTTATTTATCAGATATTATTCCAGCTGACTTCTTTATTTTTCCTAAATTCAAATTACCAGTTGGTGGCACCCGTTTTCATATGAGAACTCAATTCCGGGAAATGCGTTTGAACAATGTTTTGATGATTTGTTTGTCCGTTGTCGTTGGCGAAATTTATCGTTTCTGAAGGAGCATACTTTTAAGTGATAACAATTTTTAGATGAATAACTAACATGTTGATCTTTCCCTGGTTCGTTCTTAACAGAATACAGACATATCTCGGTAACAACGTACTATATAATTGATTTTATGAATCAGTAATGAGTGTCATTTGCAAACATAATAAGTATAACAACGTACTATATAATTGATTTTATGAATCAGTAATGAGTGTCATTTGCAAACATAATAAGTATAGTATTAATTACAGCTAACAGCTTAAAGTAAGCATACTCACGGTGGCCCGCGTGACCTTCACGGAGGGTCTCGCGGAGGCATACAGCAGGAACAGCAAGTTAACGCCGATGCCTATGACGATGCCAAGCTCCAGTCGCAGCATGAGACAAGAGCCGAACGTCACCACCGCGGGGATTATATCGATTTCTGAAACAATAATAAAGTTTACGATTCTGTGGAAAACGTGTGAGAACTACAAAAATAAATAAATACTTTGTTCAAACTCAACATTCAATTTATTGTGTTCCCCTAGGGTGTTGGTGTTGAAGAGGCTGTTTTGGCGACAATTTCACATTTTTTTTGTTTCTCCTACCTAAGCTTAGAGGGCTATGCCAGCCTCACCGAACGAGTAGGTGATCTCACGGGACTCTAACCAGAGGAAGATGCTAGCACTAGCCCAAGCAAAAGTAGTGCTTCGCATAATTTACCACCGGATCGGTAATGATCCACTGAGAAGATCCGGCGAGAAACTCAGTGGGCTTGATTTCCCACATTTTCTACATATAGGAGCTATTAGATCTAGTTCGATTTATGAGCTGATTCCACCGTGTGGACACCGCGGGCTTGAGGTTGAAGGTTCAATTGAACTGTAATAATGATTGTCTTACTTATCTAAAGATTGTGTTATGGCACGAGTAGCGCTATGTCCGGTTTTAAATGGTAATACTCACGGAAATGATCAAGGCAAAAGTAAAGAAAAAGTGACTTACTTTTCGTCCTCCATATAGGTTTGAAGACGTGCAGTTCCATCATGAAGACCACAGCAGCAATGATGACGGCAGCCAATGACGCTTTCGGAATGTAGTAGAAATACGGCGTGAAATACTGTAGGGGAATGATAAATGGTGTAATTAGTGCTTTGAAATCTTTTAAGACTTATTGGACGAAGCATTTGTGCAGCAAAGAACGACTTTATTGTGAGCTGATCATGATGATCCCGCCCGATCCGCACAAACAGACAGGAAGGTAACTTTCAAAATCAGCAGCGCTTGTCATCTAGGATATCGAAACAGGAGTAGAGTTGAGAGTCGAGTTGTAGAGCTTTTTTTTATTGCCCTTGTAGGCAGACGAGCATACGGCCCAACTGATGGAGACTGGTTACCGTCGCCTATGGACCTCAGCAATGCCAGGGGCAGAGCCAAGCCGCTGCCTACCGAACTGGGAATGTGTTACCTGTAGCGCGAGCAGCACCAGCGCGCCGGCCCAGAGGCCTGAGGCGGTGGTGGCGACCCCGGAGGCGTGGTTGACGGCGCCGCGGGACAGCGCCCCCGACACCGGCATACTGTCCACCAGCGCCGACACGATGTTGCACACGCCCAGAGCCAGCATCTCTTGCGTCGCGTCCACGTACTTACCCTCCGCTGTTCGCAGACACAAAATATCATGGATGAATTCCTCTGGGCTACTTACTCTACGTCACTCATAGTGAGTGACATTCAACAAGGATGAAGATCTTTTTTTTTCTTTTTTTTATTGTTTAGATGGGTGGATGAGCTCACAGCCCACCTGGTGTTAAGTGGTTACTGGAGCCCATAGACATCTACAACGTAAATGCGCCACCCACCTTGAGATATCAGTTTTAGATCTCAGTATAGTTACAACGGCTGCTCTACCCTTCAGACCGAAACGCATTACTGCTTCACGGCAGAAATAGGCAGGGCGGTGGTACCTATCCGCGCGGACTTACAAGAGGTCCTACCACCAGTGAAAGTCTTTCAAATCACACTGAGATTCCAAATATTGATATTCGTAATTGTACATTTGCAAACTTATCTTGTTATTGGCGCTACTCAGGTGTGGGCATTTCTGTATTCTGTGATGGAGTTTTTTAATATATTGTGCTCACGGTCCACCTGATCTTATGTATCACAATCTGAATGTGCCACCCACCTCGAGGCATGAGTTCAAAAATGGTTTGTGAACATATTATGTTCGAATCTCATGTAGCAAAAAAAAACATTTAACGATTTCAGATCTTTCATTGACCTGCGATAATTTTACAACCTATATAAACACCAAAATATTCGAATCCTGAATAAAATATAAAAAATGCTTAATCAAATAATACTTACAAAAAACTTTAGCCAAAGCTATATTCTCTAAAATAGAGAGGAGTGGCACCACGAATATCGCTGATCCGAGGGTGGACGCCATCTCCACAAACGTGTACGTGTGGTTACCGACCGTGGCGGAGAATGGTGGGGGGGAGATCTGTGGTAGCCCCGCCTTCACTTCACCTGGAATATTATTCAATTAACTTGTCATAAGTACGGCTGCCGAAGATTGTAGTTGGTATTCTATTGGAACAAAGATGATCAAGAAAATTCGTAGAACACTATATTTATACTTTTGGACCTCATCATCTTAGAAATAATTCGCGTACATTCAGCAAGACAAGATAATTGTCACAAGCCCCGAATAACAGTGCCTATTCCGAGGGCGGTCGTGATTACTGGTATCTATGTAGATGTAACTAAACCAGTAAACGCACCAGTTAAAACGAAAGGTTGCAACTGCCTCGTGTCGAAGTAGTAGGCCAATGATGCACAGGCCAGCACCACCAGGATGTTCCGCGTGGTGGACACGAGCCATAGTGTCTGCGAGGCGGCCTTACGCAGACGCCTGGTCTTGCCTGAACTCTCATCGACCTTCACGCTTATATCCTTGACTTTCTGAAATGACAAATAAGAAATACAAATTACCCGACAAAAAGAAGTTTTAGATGTGCTTCTTTTAAATCCCTACCTGACACGTGCCCACAGAACCTATCCCATTTATTTAGAAAACTTTTGAATTGCTGGAGTTCGAACCGAAGTTCATGGAATATTATCGACAAAATATCGAAAAGGTTCTAATACTATGTCGAAATTTCACTAATAGCTAAAAGCGACAGGTTTAGCTAGTTTTTTCCAAAAATTAATTAATGAAAGGGTCAGACCAGATCATGTCTGGTAAATAATTCAAGTTTAGCCCNCGTATCCCATTTATTTAGAAAACTTTTGAATTGCTGGAGTTCGAACCGAAGTTCATGGAATATTATCGACAAAATATCGAAAAGGTTCTAATACTATGTCGAAATTTCACTAATAGCTAAAAGCGACAGGTTTAGCTAGTTTTTTCCAAAAATTAATTAATGAAAGGGTCAGACCAGATCATGTCTGGTAAATAATTCAAGTTTAGCCCCTGAGCGCAGTCACTAGCTGTAGCAGACACTTACCCTCAACAGAAGCAGTACAACGATACAAGTTACACCGAGCACAGTGTCCCAGAGTCGAGTCTCACCGATGTGTTCGTATATCCCCGTCCACACCTGTAATATGATACAATCCTTTTGAGCATAGAAATGGAATAATACGTCAGGGGATCTTGTGCTGCGACCTTGTGATATCATACCACCTAATTTATATCACCTAGTGACAGTGGCCAAGCTCTGATTTTATGGCGATATTTTAAGTGTAAAACTGGGCATCAAAAGCGGTCGGACAATCACAAATTCAAAATAAATTATAGCAGTCTATTGTGTCCCGTTTTTAGACCACGTCCGTAAATGATTAGGGACATTGTCTGAAACTTATCTCTTATCAACTGATATCTGGAAAAAATTCTTCTTAGTTTCCACATTTCTTACAGGGACAACGGCGGATCCAGGGGGTGGGTCATGGGGGTCATGACCCCCCCTTGAGCTAGTTCCAGGACTTGAACTAACTTGGACTAATTGAAGAACATCATGATTTATTTATTATCTATTGTTATCAAAATTAAATTATAAGTTCTCAACTTGCCCACGACTATGTGACCCCCTCTTGGCGCCAAAGCTGGATCCGCCCTTGTACAGGGATCACAACATCCCATATCATCTCAGAAGGTAATCGCAAAATATCATGCTGACCATCATCTTGTTTGTCGGTATTATTTAATTTTTTATTTTATTTATTAAAATATCGTCTCCATGTTGTATTTTCTTATTTACTCTATAATTGTGTAACCATGAATAAACAAAAAAAACCCATTAAAGACCACCAATTCAAGAAACTTAAGTACATATTGACTATTAAATTACAAGGTCAATAGAAAGTTGAATACGGCGTCGGTTAGATTGTTATAGAAAAACTATTAAATTATTTGAACAAAAAGCTAATATTACGTGCGGCGTAAAAAACATCGGTAGCCAGTGCTGCACAATTCGCTTTATAAAGCAATTTGATTTTGGAAAACGGTGCAACAGTTGCTAAAATGTCAATGACACGATGAAATGTCATGTCGTGCTCTGAGGACTACTGCTTCTCCTCTTCCTCCTCCTCAAGACCTTCCTTATTTCTACGGAATGTGCAGACGAAACACTGGCGTCCATGACATGACGATTCTCAATTAATTCCACATTCAAAATATCACAAGTCACAAATATTTGTGCTTGTGTATTTTGTGTTAAAGCGTTTGAAAACACATTGCGTTTAACAAAAGGTCGCATGGAAACTCAAACTTCCTACTTCTATAATAGGTAGCACACATTACATACTCCTTTTTGGAATGTCAACCACGTTGTATATAGATTGAAAAGGACAAATATTTATTTTCTATGATATATGATTTAATGCGTTCTATATGTATTTTTATGATTACCATTCTAGTCTATGTTATACTCAGTTTGTCACGGGTAGACTCGTGCTGCCTAAACTTTGTCATTTCACATTTCAACATGGTTCACATCGACGATTTGACAAATGTCATGCGATCAAGCAATCTGCTTGCTTCATGGTGCACCGTTGAGTTTGGTTCATCTGCCCTTTACTTCCCTGCTCGGATCTCTTATTATCTAGTAACATATCTTCCATTAGAACTGAAGGTTTATTTTTTNTTGTCACGGATAGACTCGTGCTGCCTAAACTTTGTCATTTCACATTTCAACATGGTTCACATCGACGATTTGACAAATGTCATGCGATCAAGCAATCTGCTTGCTTCATGGTGCACCGTTGAGTTTGGTTCATCTGCCCTTTACTTCCCTGCTCGGATCTCTTATTATCTAGTAACATATCTTCCATTAGAACTGAAGGTTTATTTTTTAACAGCTCATAACATGAAACAGATCACGACTTTTCTGGCCTTATTGTAGTCCATAATATTATTATCGTAAATACCTGAATAAACTTGCCACCAGGGAAACTTAACCCGAGGATGTCTTTAACCTGAGTAGTGGCTATGATGATGGCAGCGGCAGATGTGAACCCAACGGAGACCGGACCGCTGATGAAGTCAATCAGAAAACCTAGAATGATGAGAACTAGAAAGATAGTAGATATAGATTATGAATGACCTTTTTATTTGACTGTGTGCAAACAGCATTATATCTGTGTAGTTTGACAAATTTAGTGTTATCAAAACAGCATTTTGAACTCGTATTGTGAGCCAATAGATTGTTGATAGACAGGAAACGGACTGGTTTAATGATGCACCTATCAGCCCAGGATTTCCTGTCACTAATTGTGGTACGTTCAGTTAATTGGATAAATACCCAGTCACGTTTGTAATTTTACAACTAGACGTTTGAGAGATATCATCTAACAACAACACGTGTAGGATACCCATCTGAGAACTAGTTGTTGATGAATACACTGTAGTATAATTGTTATCAGAATTTATTGTTTTCAAATAAGTTGCATTTCTGGACTAAGGTAAAGTCAACCAGCCTCTCTTGGAAAAGAGCGCCACTGATCTGGTTTATTCGACAGCTACCAAGTTGATGTCTGACTAATACAAATGACCTCAGGAAATATTTAATGTATGTTTTTTGCGTCGATCGATGAATGAGCTCATGGTCCACCGGGTGATACGTATTTACCGGAGTCCATAGATATCGAGACGTCAATGCTGAGACACACATTGAGACATGAGGCCAAAGTATTTATTGTATTGTACAGTAGCAGTCCTCCCTTTAAACTAGATCGAATGACCGCTTCGTGGTAAAAATACATTGGATAGAAAAATTTGCCTTAAATTATGATTTCGTTTATGATATCGATCGGAAGAGGTTGAGGTGCCGTTATTCTAGACCAGACCCACCCAGATGATAATTTTGCATCCCTCCAACAATTTTATTTGATTAGTTTGACACTTACTGGTGGTAGGTCCACTTTACTGGTGGTAGGTCCATTTTATGGTGGTAGGTCCACTTACTGGTAGTAGGTCCACTTGTGAGTCCGCGCGGATAGGTACCACCACCCTGCCTATTTCTGCCGTGAAGCAGTAATGCGTTTCGGTTTGAAGGGTGGGGCAGCCGTGGTAACTATACTGAGACCTTAGAACTTGTATCTCAAGGTGGGTGGCGCGTCTACGTTGTAGATGTCTATGGGCTCCAGTAACCACTTAACACCAGGTGGGCTATGAGATCGTCCACTCATCTAAGCAATAAAAAAAAAAAGTTCAACACTAGACACCAGTGTGTACGTGTACTGCCTACTACCGATCCCCAAGGTCTATGACTTCTTGCTTTTGTGGCCATCTGTTCCTTTACATTCACACTCGATAACATGTACGTCATGAAGAAGTGTATAGAAATAGTTACTTTATGATTTAATAAATTCTATTACAGATAGTTCCCGCTAATGATTGATTGAGGCAGTGTATTTGTGATCAAACAAGGCCACCCTTAACAATGTTATTCTGTGTTCTATGTTAGCCACTCATTATCAATTTATTAAACAATTTTCTGTTTGCACCAGACCGGAGACCCGTCTGCCTTCGAATACATTAAGGATGTGGCAACTGGCGCTGATCATAATGTCAATACCGCCATCGGTGTGGAGAGCCCGTCTGAGGATGGAATTACTGACGGACGACCTTAAATCGAAAACTTCACCTGTAGAAGAGCTGGTACTCACCGGCAGAGATTGAACTCCTGCATATTCGCATCACTTGCGTACTTCGAGCGTCTCAATAGCCCACGACTAATTTAACCTCATATTTTTAAAGTTATTTATTTCTAAGGAGGCTCTACATTTATAGTGACTAATGTGTGAAATTCATTGAATGTTATCAGTGAATAACACTTTTATTTGCAATTCAAATTACATTTTGTTTTTGTATGGATATTCATGTTATATTCGCGGAAAATGCGAATTCTTTTCTTGTTGTTCTTATTGTTCTATTGTATAAGATATGTTACAGAGTGAACATTTTCGTAAATGGTTACTTAGGAATAGATAGATTAGGCTCTGAATTACACATAGTGTCAAAAATTTTATTAGGCTGCTATTCACTGTAACAAAATGTTCGCCACGAACCTTAACGTTTTTAGTTCGGTAGATTAAACGACAGATCCATATACATAAAAAAGTGAATGCCACCTCCAATTCTCTGAAGATCGAGGTCTGATTTGTTTTGTACAGCAGTCTCTCGGCCCTTTATATCTAAATTATAGGTATCTATATAAATACTTTAGCTTCAAATATCTCTGTGTAAAATGTGTAGATAAATAAAACGAGAACGAAAAATCGGATATAGACGTCAATAAACAAGGGGGAATTTTGTAATTGTATCGTATCGGCTTTTGTTACTGACTAAATTAGAAGATGTTTATAAATAAATAAAATTAAGTTAATACGTTGCCCGAGCGCGCATCAACTTAACAAAAGATTCTATAAAATAATATAAAAAAACAATATTATTTTGTCCTCTCAACTCACCTAATTGCAACATTCCCATGACNTATAGACGTCAATAAACAAGGGGGAATTTTGTAATTGTATCGTATCGGCTTTTGTTACTGACTAAATTAGAAGATGTTTATAAATAAATAAAATTAAGTTAATACGTTGCCCGAGCGCGCATCAACTTAACAAAAGATTCTATAAAATAATATAAAAAAACAATATTATTTTGTCCTCTCAACTCACCTAATTGCAACATTCCCATGACCAGCTCCACGCACCCAGACAGAAAGGCCAGTAGAACAGCAAATTCTGGTCCCAGGCCGTGGAGATTTTCCCGCGTCAGTATAGCGGCGATAGCGGTGGGACCTATAGCCGAGTCCTTTACTGAACCGAAGATCGTGTAAACGAAGCAGGCCATAAATGAGGAGTAGAGTCCATACTGCGGCGGCAAGCCGGCCACTCCAGCATAAGCTATAGCCTGAGGTATGACCGTGAGACCCACCGTTATACCTGGGAAAGAAGTGTTAATACTGAAAAAATTAAACACCAATACCAAATTCACTTTATGTTCAACGACATAAGATTCGAAATTTATGCTTACAGCATTTTTAATTATAACTAGATGATGACCGTTGTGTGCCATCTTGTTGTGTCTTTAAAGCAATTAGTTGCTCTCAATTAAGAAAAATAGTATTATTATTCGCCAATAGATGTCGGGAAGAGTCATAAAGTTGATTATCGATAAAGTTGATTATTGAAAACACGAATAAAACAACATTTACGAAAATAAATCGTAGCTAGATCGATTTATCGCCCCCGAAATCCTCTCTAAAGTAAATTTCATGAAAATCGTTGGAGCCGTTTCCCAGGTTCAGATTATATATATATATAAGAATTGGTCGTTTAAATGTATAAGATAAGATAATTTTTTACGTATTAAAGTGTGGCATAATCATCACTTTTATGAAGAATTCATAATTGTTTTGAAAAATTATACATTGTCTAGGATCACTTATCGCATGATAGCTTACATCGTCATGCCTCTTAAATTACATTATAGAATGTCGAGACATTTCTTATGTCATTCATTCAAGAGTATTGAGGATTGTATTTCGAAACCAGCAATGTTTTGATCGTGGAAACACGTTGTGTATGTATTGTGTACAAACTGTTCATTGTGTATTGATATGTAACGGGAAGCTACACAATGCACCGTCCTTTTGTGTTTAAGGATATTGTGTGAAACGATTTGCAGGTGTATTTATATCAATAGGTGTCTGGGTGTGTTAGTACCATGCATTACGTACCATGAGCTTACTCCACATCAGGATGATTCAACGTGTAATTGATCGCCTTGTTAGTTCCTGAATAGTGTCTTATGTATCATGAGTTCTGCAGTCTACTCCCAGTCAGTATGTCTACTAATTATAATTAATATTCAAGGTCTAAGTAAAGCACGCCCGAGCTACCCTTGTCTTGTGTGTGTTACCGTTTTTTATTTTTTGTTGCTTAGATGGGTGGACGAGCTGACAGCCCACCTGGAGTTAAGTGGTTACCGCCGCCCATCTGCTGCCCCACCCTTCAAACCGAAACGTATTACTGCTATACTACAGAAATAGGCAGGGTGACGGTGCCTACCCGTGCGGGCTCTAAAGAGGTCCTTTTTTTTTTTTTTTTTTTTTTTTTTTTTTTTTTTTTTTTTTTTTTTTTTTTTTTTTTTTTTTTTTTTTTTTTTTTTTTTTTTTTTTTTTTTTTTTTTCTCGGGTAGAGGGCCGAACCTCCTACGAGGTCCCCGCGCAAAAGGGGCGCGCGGGGTATGTGAGACTCAACGATCTGCATGGTGTTGTGAGCAGACCGCGGGCCCAAGGATTTATTAGGCTACCCACTAAACGACTCCCCTGCACTCTTACACCCGACGTCCGATCCCCTCCGAGGTCAGAACCCGGATGAGGTAGGGGGGCTACCGCTAAAGAGGTCCTACCAACAGTAAGCCCGTCAACATACATTCTCGCTTAGCTCGTGAATATATCTTGTTATTTTTGAAGTTTTATTTGACATTTAGAGCCTGATGTAGACACTTCTCAAGATTGGTGAAAGATTTGGTGATAGCTGTTTTATCATGCAAAGTATGTGTTTTACAACCTGTCGGCGACGATACCTAAACGTGGGGGGCACGCGGAAGCGGAGTGCGGGGAGACCCGGAACAAAACGTGAAGACAGACAGACGCGACACAGACGCGTGCGCAACACCAACATAAGCAATAAGCCGCAGACTTAATGTTAATCGAATATAATTATAATAAAATTGTAAAAGGCAAAGTACATAATAAAAGCATAATTATATGATTTTGTTCAATTCCTGGACAAAAATTGGCGACCGTGACAGGACGAACGTGAACAACGGATTTAATATAATATCTCAAGCAACCAGCTGGACCCTAAGTAAACCAGAGGACCATCATGGAAAGATTCCGACACCAGGGGAGTAGCTCTGTCCTTTCCTTTTATTCGTAAATGTCCCTCTTTAATTTGTGTTGAGAGTTTCTTTTCTTTTTTTTTTTCTTCTGCGGGTAGGTGTGTGGAACTTTTGTTTCGCGTGTATTTTGGTGTCGAATATTCGTTCTAGAGTATTCGTTATTTTTTACATGAGTACCTGAGTGCTTAAATTATACGTTTAATGTGTTTAACCATCATTGCATACATTTTAACTTTGCTTAACTACTAAACAAATTGTTTTCTTAATTTCAAACAATATTTAATGCCACAAGTGAAATGCTTATCTCTTTAATTATGGCTAAGCCCTTAAGTACATAAATACATAATCAGCGCAGAATTCTCGTGATAGTAATCAATATTTAGTACTTTTGTTTACCGAGAATTTCCATAATTGCAATTAATTTCTGCACTTTAAAATAATACTATCTTTATGCCCTTATAAGTCCGAAAACAAACCAAGTAATTTATAATTTGCTAATAATTTGGCCGAACATTCCAGGCGACATCGAAACGTAATCGGCAACCGGCCGCTGCGCTCCGGTGTTGCGAGTGAGCATTGTGGTCGTGCACTGTGATACGCACGGTGCTGCACTGTGTCTGGCGCACTGCGCGGCGCCGTGTCTTGCAGTGTCTACGCGCCTTGCGCCTGACGAGTCTATTTGAGTCGGTTTGATGCACATTTACTTTGTTTAGCTCATTAAGTACGCTTCAATAAAATGCCTCAAGATCAAGATATGTTGTCTGGTGGTAGCTCTGAGGTTAAGAAAATGAAAGAGTTAATTAGATCACGCGGGACTATTAAGGGTCGTTTGACACGATTTAAGGATTACGTTTCAGCTTTTAACGTTACTAATCATGAGGACATTAGTGANTTTTTTTTTTTTTTTTTTCGGGTAGAGGGTCGAACCTCCTACGAGGTCCCCGCGCAAAAGGGGCGCGCGGGGTATGTGAGACTCAACGATCTGCATGGTGTTGTGAGCAGACCGCGGGCCCAAGGATTTTAGGACCCACCCACTAAACGACTCCCCTGCACTCTTACACCCGACGTCCGATCCCCTCCGAGGTCAGAACCCGGATGAGGTAGGGGGGCTACCGCTAAAGAGGTCCTACCAACAGTAAACCCGTCAACATACATTCTCGCTTAGCTCGTGAATATATCTTGTTATTTTTGAAGTTTTATTTGACATTTAGAGCCTGATGTAGACACTTCTCAAGATTGGTGAAAGATTTGGTGATAGCTGTTTTATCATGCAAAGTATGTGTTTTACAACCAAATGATTGCCTGTTCTGGTACAATTTTTTTTTTTTTGCTTACATGGATGGATGAGCTCACAGGCCATCTGGTGTTAAGTGGTTATTGGAGCCCATAGACATCCATCACGTAAATGCGCCACCCACCTTGAGATATAAGTCCTAAAGTCTCAGTATAGTTAAGTCGACAACGGCGTAGATACAACCGCTCTCCCCCTTCAAACCGGAATGCGTCATTATTTCGGAGTAAATGGTGCGGAAATTCAGATGGCTCTCTCAAATCAAGATATTCTAGGTCAGACTTCACTGTTCTTTATTTCCCCTTATTTTTAATAATATCGAAAACATAGGTACGATATAATTAGGGCATCAACCCTAAAAGGGACGTCTTTACAATGTTATTACAGTTACAGTTTATACAGTAAGTCTACTTACTTTAAAACCATGTATGCGTCATCATGAAACATGAACTTACTTTAAAATACAGGTAATCATGTTTGGTTCTACAAATTAAATCGCTCCGACCTCCATCCATATCCATATTCTCAATTAGGAATTAGCAACTTCCTCATTTCTATATTTTTCAGTTATCACGCATTCAATATTAAGTATTCAGTGTGTTCAACATATTCTCTAATTGACAAAAGACGTCAAAAATCAAATCGTGTCATGGTTCGTTTGCTGTGTTCAATCAAACAGCTATGAGACTAAATACTTCTGGAATAATATCGTAACTAAATAGGCTAAGCTATCTCAAGCTAAAGATGCAAAAGATGAGTAGATATTGCTATCAGTGCAACATTAGCTGACGATTGAAAGGATCATGCCATGTAAGTGCCTTCGCAAGGATATAAACGGAGGCAGGCGACCAGTGTGTCTCAAATAGAAGAAAATTTTATTTTGATAGAGCTCTGAGGATTAACATACATAACTAGCCAATGGGCATCCTCCATGTTAATAGTAGATTAAGTAGGCAGTGTAATTGTTTGGCAGTTTAATGTTTATTGCATTATTTATAAAATTTTGTACAAACTCAGCACATTTGTCTTGTTCAGTCATGTGCACATGGCTTATGTTGCAAGCCAGATTTTCCTTTTTTTACTTGTTGTTTAATGTGTATTGTGTGTGTATAAATAAATAAATATATTTGATATCATTTCTGTCATGCACAATACGGCTCTAAGATGAACTCCCCTTCGCGACATTTCCTGAGTGCTATATATAACCTGTATTTTTTTTCGAGCCTGTTTTAAACCGTTCTCAGCGGTAGTACGCGCCCAGGCTGTGCCTCTGGCATTATTACAACATTTAGATGTTAACGGGTGGCGGGGACAGCTCACACGTAACAGAAAAACAATTGAGTCCCTATCCTTCCCTGAGTATATGCTAAAAATATATACTACTAGCTGACCCGGCAAACGTTGTTTTACCATGTATAAGATTTCTAGGGAATTTCTAGTGTAGAAAAAAAAACTAACTTATCGTAAGTGTGTAAGGATGTGGTAAATGAGTGAAAGAGGCATGTAGTGCTGTGAACTATGAGGGAATATAAAAATAACAAAACCTCATTCAGCCACATAATGCCTCACAATAATTTAAAAAAAAATTGTCCAAAAAATAAAAAAAATAATCCCCAACCCATATCACTAAGGGGTATGAAAAATAGATAGTAGCCGATTCTTCGACCTACTGAATATGCATATAAAATTATATAAAAATCGGTCAAACCGTTTCAGAGGAGTATTGTAACTAACATTGTGACACGAGAATTTTATATTTAAGATATATCCAACCTACACAAGTCGTGATTCCAAGTCACGGTCTGTTATTAAAACCAAACTACCGATTACAGCTTTGTTTCATTAGCATCGATAGCTTGTGTGAATATTTTAATTAAATTTTGCTTTTAATTAAAACGATAATGTTTTACTATTCCTCAAACATAACACAAACTGGTGCTTAAGATTTTTAAATGAAGCTATCGGAGGTATTGAGTTTTCGCAGGCAGCGATTTGGCCGTGTATCTGGCATTGCTGATGTCCATGAGAGACGTCAACTATTTACGAGCTGGGGGATTGTCAAGCGATCCTGTGTTTTTTTTTTTATTGCTTAGATGAGTGGACGAGCTCCCAGCCCACCTGGTGTTAAGTGGTTACTGGAGCCCATAGATATCTACAGCGTAAATGCGCCACCTATCTTGAGATATAAGTTCTAAGGTCTCAAGTATAGTTACAACGGCTGCCCTACCCTTCAAACCGAAACGCATTACTGCGTCACGGTAGAAATAGGCAGGGTGGTGGTACCTACCAGCGCGGACTCACAAGAGATCCTACCGCCAGTAAAATTATTAATTAGTAAATACATGTACTCATAAATAATATACATTATGGCCTTGAGTCACAGAGCATGTGCACAACACACCTAGTAGTTTGTGTAAACACACAGACCTTATTGATTGAAAACACAAGAGGAAATACGAAAACTGGATGCAATGGATGCTATGCAACGGAGACTCGATTCTCACGTCTTTTCAGACTTGTGGGATCCGATAGTATTTAGCTGCTGACTCGTGCGCTCCACGGCTAGTCTACTGGTGGTAGAACCTCTTGTGAGTTCGCGCGGCTAGGTACCACCACCCTGCCTATTTCTGCTGTGAAGCAATAATGCATTTCGGTTTGAAGGGTGGGGCAGTCGTTGTAACTACTTAAATTGAGACCCTAGAACTTATATTTCAAGGTGGGTGGCGCATTAGTAAATAGTGATAGCACCATAACAAATAGCTCATCGGACCTGAGGGAATCTATTGTTATAAGCACCCGCCACGACCCGGTCACCACATGACTGATTCTTAAATTAAATAGGTATTTGATGATAAAACTGTTTTTTATGGGTTTTTATCCTATAAAAAAAATGATGTGAAAGTGAAATTAAAATGTCACTTTTAAATCAAGGACTTGATGCCTTACCTGCAATAGTATCAGACAGTCCGCTGCGCCAAGTGTAGTTGGGCAACCACTGCAGTATAGGAACTCTTCGGAGGAGCATTTTCTTGGAGCAACATGCTCTGGCGCGTCTAGCTGCCTTCCTCCTCCAGCTAACGGGGGTCTTCGTGAACAGACTTCCCGGATATGATCCATTTGTATCTAAAGAGAAATAATGGTTTTGTTATGAAATATTTAATACCGACATATCAGACAACGATTATATCAGACAAGCCAAATATCTATCAGGGTATAACATAACAAATTTATCAGAGCTCAAATCCTATAGTATGCACTATTTATTAATTTGTAAATAAGTATTTCTACTTGGTATTTCCGTCAGGACGTGAGCCCTATAGTTGGAACATTCTCGTTACGAATGCACCGGGCATATTATCCGTTGGGCTATGGACGAACAGAGGGTATTTCGTACCCACTAATTTCATGTGACACAGTTCAAGGTGCCCCGAGATAGTCTAGTGTAACAGTTACAATAGATTAGCAACGCTTTTACCGACCTGATTGCCTCAGACTCAACTCCACACAATACAATCCGTCGTCCACACAATACAGTCTGCAAACTAAAATTCCTTTCTAAGTTTGTTTTCGGTTGAGAAACTATTTGTTTAGAAATGTGTATTTACACAAATATCCATCTAGACAAACGAGATAAGAGAAACTTCAATGCTCGAACACGCTTTTGATTTAACGGGGTAGACAATGGATCAACCTTATATGAGTATAAGCAGTCTAAGCTTCTCAATATATCTCCGACGCTGCTCACTGACGTCCCAAAACCCTGGTGATGCTTTAATTCACCATTTACCATGTGGCGGACGTCTAAAGGCTCTTTCGTGGTGAAATCCCATTTAGCTACAATTTGGTCCAAGTATCCAACCAATCTTACCAATTCAATAATATTGTAAGTTGAAACTGGCCTGTTGGTGGAACCTATGGTTGGCAGTTACTGCTTTGAAAGGTTGACCTTATTATAGGGCAAATATAAGCGTAACAAACTCTTGTAAAGTTTTAGAAAGATGTCCTATTTCTTATTTCATTTTACGAACCACATTTAACAGTTTGTTTAAAAGTTGAGAGAGTGCAGACGCATGGCCTGTACTGAAATATGTGCAATTTGTCCTCTGTTTATTGCCCAACTAACTTGCCAATGTTGACAGTGTTTGGTTTGAACAGATGCTTTAGTTTGATCGCACAAGGTCGTTACTCAGTTATTTCAAATATTGAAATATGACGTTTGGAAATCAACAATATTCAATGAAAAGGGCAAAACAATGGGCTTTCGATGACGATGAAAAAGCAGAGTTTTTGGGCGTTGCACTGCAAGACAAGTGCACCACCAGTGGTCATATCACGGACCTCGAATACGAATGCTAGTTAACAAGGAGGTTGAACGCAGATATTCCCTGCCACCCTCGGGCGCAGTACCCCATTTCTGTTAACGAAGTCAAAGAAGCAACCGAAAATCTACAAGCACGGAAAGTCTCCGGCTCCAATGCCATTCATAACCACATATTAAAAATGTTACCTGCCCAACTAGTGATGGCCTCAATTTTAAATGCCGCTATGACGAACTGCATCTTTACCGCGGTGTAGAAAGAAAGAAGCGGACGTTATCGGCATACAGAAACCTGGATAACCCAAACACGAATCCGTGAGCTACCGCGAAACCATGGTCGACGAATAGTTTGAATTTCACGCCATCAAAATTTATGCATCCAACAAAGGCACCGCCTCGCGGAGCACATCTTACTACGGCTAAATAGATGCAGAGTAGTCTCCGCGGCGGTCGAGCTCTCTTTTTCGATATCGCAAAGGCGTTCGGCAAAGTCTGGCACAACAGTTTAATTTATAAACTGTACACCATGTGAGTACCAGAAAGTCTCGTGCTGAACATACGAAACTTCTTGTCGAAACGTTCGTTTCGGTATGGAGTCGAGGAAACTCAATCTCTCTCACAATAAATCTCGGCGGCAGCACCGCAAGACTCCGCTCTCTCCCCGTTAGCTTTCAGCTTATACAGTAACAAACGCAACAATACACCCCGGACCCCTCTTCGCCGATGCTACGTCTATCTACTACTCGAGTAGGAAGATGTCGTTTATCCACAGTTAATTCCAGATCGGGGCCATCAATTTAGGTTCGGAAGTGGCGCATTGACATCAACCTCGCGGAAAGCACAGCCATGCTCTTTAAGAGGTAGCCCTCCTGACACTACTGCTAGTATCTCGTCGTGAATTAGGCGCGGTAACTCCATTCGCCTCAACAAAATCTTTGAACAGCCCATACCGTGAACCTTCGAGGTTCAGTTGGAACAGCGCCCCTAGCGGCAAACGTAGGCAAACTTTTCAACTACATACAAATTTGAGTTAACTATTACGCTATCGAGAGCGTTAAAAAACTCGCACTAAGCACACTGGTTTACTCTGCGGCAGCGGCGTCGCGGCATCAGTAAGCAGACATATTAAGGCGTCTGGCGACCTATTTATTAGAGACTACGAACATTAAAAATCAGAAATCAGTAATTCTTCTAAAATGAACATAAAACTAACAGTGAACTAAGGAATGGTTTCTGTCTACATTAGAAGAAAGCAAACGCAGAGCAAGCGTGAGCACTCGTACTAGTCACAACGCCGCCTTGACCCGGACAATTCCGTGGCTGTGTATTTTGATCCCAAGTCGTGTCGCAGAAAGCCTTGGCAAGAAACACAGCTATTTTCAGAATTAAAGTTATTTTACTAGATTGCTATACAATGCGGGACGTTAGGTACTTTTTTAAACTTGAGTCGCATTCAAATGAGAAAATTCAGGTATTTTGTGTTTTAGATAAAGTTGATTCCTCGCTAGTCTTCTCTAACATTTTCAATTACCCCCAACACGAAATTATTTTGGTGATACAAAATTTAAGACAAACTGTTCGGTGTTTTTGTCCATTACTAAAATCACAATACACACTATATTATAATATGATAGAACTAAAAACAGCACCGTATTTAATCTACATAACAAAGGCAACTCAAATTGGACTGGACTTTGTGGCGGGAACGCGAGGAGTGAAGTTGTGCTAATTGTTTTATTTTGTCTAGTTAGTGTTGCTTCATATTTAAATGTGTAATAACGGTGGTTTATTAACGGTTTAGTATCTGTGAAAGTGCACAAATGTGGGAAAATGAAACAAAGCCACTGAACGTAACTTCTCGGGATCTTCCAAAAAGTCCACTGAAAAAGTTTCAGTAAATAACCACAATTTTACTAAGATTATACTTCATCCCATATCATCTCATCTCATGTCATTTCATTTCGTTTTCATTTCACTTCATGTCATGTTTCATAATAATCAACTTCATTTCATTTCATAATATAATTTTCATATAAAAAAGTTACGTCATTAAAATTAAAATAAGACTTGACCTAAAGATCTTAGTTACCAGGTCATAAAATCCATTAAAAAAAAAATCAAATTGGACTGTGCCAAAATGGATGCTAATCTAACAAAAAAAAAAGTTTGGAACCATAAACAAATCATCCATTCCCGATACTTTCTTGACCGAATGTACATACATGGTGCATAGTGCTTAAAACAATAATGACGTATGTATTAGCATATAGAAAGTATAGGGATGCACTACACTGCGAAAATATAGAGGTGAATATTTTGAAACTATTATTGAAAAGCGTCCGTTATCGTCAATCCTGGTTAACAATTTCAATAGAAAATTTCGAAGATACATTATTTCAAATTAACTGAAAGATGTAAAGGGATTGCTAATTGACACAGTTAAAGTCAGAGTCTAATCGAGGACGCTGCGCATCCTTATGAACTGTTTTCGCATATCGTTTGCATAGAAACAAATTTATTGGACCCTCGTTCAAGGTATTCAAATGTTCCGAAATTATAGCGAGGAAGCCTGTCGTTAGCACTCGTGAGCACACACCCATGTAATCAGACGAACGTTAAAAACTCGGATTGCGATAATGTCATTCTCAAGATCAGCTTTCATGATATAAGTTCCAAACAAGAGTAGTCGGACCGTCGGTGCAATGAGCCAAAAACAATCAACTCCTCTTTCTTCTTTTGGTTGCCCTGACGGAAGCATAGTTTTTCCAAAAAAAAAATCGTCCCCGTGAGATATTCATTATAGCAAGTGGTCCCGCAGTAGTCGAAACTCGACTATAATTAATTGAAATTGTAAGTTTAAACATTATTATGGTTCTATTGTAAAATAATAGTATAGGTACTTCTATAACCACAGATTTCGCCAAGACCATAATACAAGACTACACTATAAATAAATAAGATAAACAATATTAACCTATTCTCAATTTGACCACAGACTTTAAGCAATAACAAAATTTGACAATAAACAAAGAGTTTAAAAATTATTATGTGTGTGTGTCAAATACGTAGTAGTGTGTGTAATGTTTTTTTTTTAATTTCATGTTTTTTATGCATAATTTAGCATGCATGCATGCATGCAAAAAAACAAATATTAGCAATCTGTACTTCTTCTCTATATTCTCTATAAGTGTGGGAAATTTCATACTCCTCTGTACTCAAGATTTTCGTAAGAAGGGGTACAAAGTTTTTGCTTCACATAATGATTTGTATAGTAACTACCGAATCATGTGAATAGGGAAGTACGTGACGATTATTGTAATAACTAGTCTAGTGTTTACTTATTTTATATTATTAGGCACGTTTCTTTCATACCAAAGTATTTGTGTCCTTGAAATCATAACACATTTTCAAATCAAACCCTAGTCTATTCATTTTCGTAATAACAAGGCAAGAAGTGAGTGGCTATTATAATGTAACAGAATTAACTATTTTTAGTTGTCTTCGAAGGCAGACGAGTATAGAAACCATCTGAGGGCAGTTAATCAGGTAGGCAGTTAATCAGATAGTTCTCAGATATCAGCAACGCTAGGGGCAAAGCCAAGCAGTTGCCCACCAAGACTAGAGTATAGTCGGTATCGGGCTATATAATCATATTCAACCTCTTCCATTAGCTTATAACTTTAAGTTTGGGCCCATATCATCATTTTGATACATTCTGGGAGTTATATGACAGCTTTGTTTATTTAATATGGCGACATCATAACTTATCAATGGAATTAGTCCTGTGAATTGAATGTTTACATGA